CAGGTAACATTTCAAAGAGTGGATAAACTCGTCGTTTTTGAATATTTCAAGCACGTGGAGTCTGTCAATCTTTAGGACGTAGTATAGTAGAAAACGAGCGATTTTTCGTGAAATCTCTTGCATAAATCACAATATGCTTTTGTGAGAGAGAAAAGTTATAGATAATGCAGTTCAAAAGTTAATTTCATCGACTCCTGTCTCCATTCGAGACGGAATTTTCGTTGTAGTGCGCTCATATATGTGTGTGTTGGAAAATTTAAGTCGAGCATTTTATTCACTCAATTTACCTCTGCCTGTCGTGTGACATATTAAAAATGACCAAAAGTCCATTTTAGCTCGTTGGAAACCATTAATTTAATTTCGACATGAAAAAATTGTACAATTAACTTTCTTCTTTGATTATTGTGGAATATTCTTTGATTTTTGATGAATTTTCCATGTGTTAGAATGTCTATAAAAAAAGAAAAAAAAATTTTCCTTGAAAAACCAGCTTAAAACTCCCACGGAGAAAATTGCACCAAATTGGTCTGTGATAAGGAACACGATAGTTTTCCTATTTTGAAAAAATGTTAATTTAATTTAAAAAATTACTTTTGGAAGAAAACATTAACAACTAAACTGATTTTCTGTAAGAGAATTTTGATATTTTTTTATTTTAGGGCTTTGACCAGTATTCCCTACCAAAACCCCAAATATTTACTGTTGTAATAATAAATAGTTTTCTAGTTAGGACGTCGCTAGTTTTGCTTGTTTATAAAATGTAAAAAAGCAATTTTTTCATTTATTTATGTAGAAATTAAAATAAGGGTGTGATGGGGCACTGTCTAGTTTTTATATGGAACTAGTTAGAAAAAACAACTAGCCCCCGGCAAGATTTTGATACCAATGTTCTTCTTAGGAAAAACTTTGTTAAGGCTTTGACAGTTTCTCTATAAATTACTCTATTTGGGTTTTTGGTGGGGAAAACTAGTCAAATTTCTAAAACAACAAAAAATAGTAAAGAATTTTCTTTAGAATATTTTTTGCACAAAATGCATTTTTAATAACTTAATTTACAATTTAAACTAGGAAAACTGGCGCAATCCTAACTAAAGCTTACCCTATTTGGGTTTTTGGTGGGGAAAACTAGTCAAATCCCTAAAACAACAAAAAATAAAAAAAGAATTTTCTTTAGAATAATTTTTCACAAAACGAATTTTTAATAACTTAATTTACAATTTAAACTAGGAAAACTGGCGCAATCCTAACTAAAGCTAATTGGATAACTTCTTAATTATTTATTTAAATTATAAATGGGTGAAAAAATTAATTTTCTATAATATTAATTTCTAAAAAGGATTTATTATTTCAGTATAGGAAAACTGACAAGGTCCTGACTAGTTTCTTTCTAAGAAAAACAGTTTCTTCTACAAGGGCTGAAATAGGGAAAACTGAAGAGCACTGTAATATTTTTTACACAAAAAAATCTTATTGCAAATATTTCTACTAAATTTTTCTGCTCTTGGTTAAATAAAATTTTTGTTTAATTTATTGTCTTTTCAATATATACATGAATTACGTAACGAATTTATGTTGTGTGTGTATATATATATATATATATATGATTTATACACAGAGGAAAAATCTGACATGACCGTGGTTTATCGTTGTCGTCTTCGTGTGATGAATGTAAAACATGATTATTAGCACCAACCTCAGGATCCGGTCCTCTCATGTTGCACAGAGCAGAGTATGTATAGCAGTAGCAGACGGCTTTGCCAAGAGTCGTATAAACGGTCCACGCAATTAGGGAAGGCGCTTCGCACACCGTTCTCGGTTCATCTTTTATTCATGCCAACCCCTTACCCCCGCCCTTTCGCCCCCAAAAGATTAAAACCAAAGCATGCCTCTCTTCTTCTTCTTCTTCTTCGTCTTCTTCTTCTTCATATATATATATATTTTTTTTTTTTTATACCATCGCAGAGATATATAAACTCAAGCAATGTATCCGTCATCTTCTCTCATCGATACATATATACACTCGATGGGGTTATTTTAATAAAATAATAAAACCGATACGAAAAATCAATTTGCCATCAACGAAGGGAGCCCATTTAACCTACCTATTAAATGTAATTCTGTATATAAATATTTGACGAGCGAGTCTGCGCCACTTGTGCCCATTTAATATTCACAGGCTTGATGGAAATTCGATATTGTTTATTTTCCAACTCAATTCACTTAACCAATAATCCTTTTTTTTTTTTGTTAATTTAGAAACATCTGTGCATAATAATGTTAATATTTTTCGGCGATGCAATGAGTCTTTAATGGACCACGAAAAAAAATCTTTTATTTTTCGAAGAAAAAGCGTTATATTTTATCGAATTCTCTAAATTTGATTTAGTGAAAATTTGTTAACTAATTTTAGTTAGTGAACATTTTTACTAATTAGTCCATTACTAATGCTAATACTAATTACTAATCCGTTGAGAAAATATGTACTAAAATTGTAGTAAAAACAATTTACTAAATCAAATAGTAATATTTGACTAAAAATTAATTAAAATTTTTACTAATTTTTAGTCTTTACTACTAAAATACTAGTACTAATAATAAATATAATACTAATGTAATAATACTAGTACTAATACTAAAATTTTAGTAAAGAAAAAATTACTATAAATAAAATAGTAATATTTTAATAAAAATTAGTGGAAATTTCTACTACTTTTTAGTCATTTACTGCTAAAATACTAAAACTAATTCCAAAATACTACTATTATAATAATACAATTACTAATAGTAATACTAATCCGTTGAGGAAGTATTAGTTTTAGTATTTTAGTAGTAAATTGCTAAAAAGTAGTAGAAACTTTCACTAATTTTTGTACTAAAATTTTTAGTAAATACTTCCTCAACGGATTAGTATTACTATTAGTAATTGTATTATTATAATAGTAGTATTTTGGAATTAGTTTTAGTATTTTAGCAGTAAATGACTAAAAAGTAGTAGAAATTTCCACTAATTTTTGTACTAAAATTTTAGTAAATGCTTTCTCAACGGATTAGTATTACTATTAGTAATTGTATTATTATTAGTATTAGTATCAATATTAGTATTAATATTAGTATTATTATTATGATTTTATTTAGTATTAGTTTTAGTATTTTAGTAGTAAATTGCTAAAAAGTAGTAGAAACTTTCACTAATTTCTGTACTAAAATTTTAGTAAATACTTCCTCAACGGAATAGTATTACTGTTAGTAATTGTATTATTATAATAGTAGAATTTTGGGATTAGTTTTAGAATTTTAGCAGTAAATGACTAAAAAGTAGTAGAAATTTTCACTAATTTTTAGTAAAATATTACTATTTGATATCGTAAATTGTTTTTAGTACCATTTTAGTAAATACTTTCTCAACGGATTAGTGTTTGTTTTATTATTAGTATTAGTATTAGTATTAATATTAGTATTAATATTAGTATTAATATTAGTATTATTATTATTATTTTATTTAGTATTAGTTTTAGTATTTTAGTAGTAAATTGCTAAAATTCTAAAACTAATCCCAAAATTCTACTATTATAATAATACAATTACTAACAGTAATACTATTCCGTTGAGGAAGTATTTACTAAAATTTTAGTACAGAAATTAGTGAAAGTTTCTACTACTTTTTAGCAATTTACTACTAAAATACTAAAACTAATACTAAATAAAATCATAATAATAATACTAATATTAATACTAATATTGATACTAATACTAATAATAATACAATTACTAATAGTAATACTAATCCGTTGAGAAAGCATTTACTAAAATTTTAGTACAAAAAGTAGTGAAAGTTTCTACTACTTTTTAGCAATTTACTACTAAAATACTAAAACTAATACTAAATATAATAATAATACTAATATTAATACTAATATTAATACTAATATTAATACTAATATTGATACTAATACTAATACTAATAATAAAACAAACACTTATCCGTTGAGAAAGTATTTACTAAAATGGTACTAAAAACAATTTACTAAATCAAATAGTAATATTTGACTAAAAATTAATAAAAATTTCTACTAATTTTTAGCCATTTACTACTAAAATACTTATACTAAACAGTTAAGATAATATATTTACTAAAATTTAGCAAAAAAAAAGTTACTAAGTCAAATAGTAATATTTGACTAAAAATTAATTAAAATTTTTACTAATTTTTAGTCTCTACTACTAAAATACTAGTACTAATAATAAATATAATACTAATGTAATAATACTAGTACTAATACTAAAATTTTAGTAAAGAAAAAATTACTATAAATAAAATAGTAATACTTGACTAAAAATTAGTGGAAATTTCTACTAATTTAAATTAATAAACAAATTCTCACTAATTCGAAAGTAGAATATAATAGATTTTCCATTATATAGAAATAAAAGAAAAAAAATTATTAACTTATCCATACAAACATGTGTTTGACATTAATGGTGATGATTCACATTGCTTCCTTATTAGTTTTGTTCGTTGAGAAGTATAAAACTGATTGACACCCTTCACAACTGTAAGAGATCTCTTCAGTGAGTATATATATATATAGAACTCCTTTGAATAATAATTGACCACTCCGCATGGCCAAATGTTTTAAAAGATATTTGTTTAATTTTTTTTTTGTATATTATTTATATTTTCGAAATATTTTCGGTCCACATCATCCCCCTTAGTGGAAAATTTGTAATTAATGCGTATTTTAAAGTATTTCTTTCGCACAGAAAAAAATCTTTACCTGGAACAGTGATATTTTTCACTGAAACAGCTAAAGTTTTCTCTATTCTAGAGAAACATATCGCTGTTCCAGATAAAAATTTTTTTTTCCTGCGCCTAAATTTTAAACAAATTTTTGTATTAAAAAAAATGTTTGTTTCTATTTAAAAAAAAAAAAATGTTAAGATAAATATATTTTTAAGTTCTTTTTGTGATTAAAAATTCTTTTCTTTTTTGGTGATTTTAGAATGAGATCGGAGAGTCATGGTGGCGCTTGGTGTCCAAAAGATCAAATAACAACGGAGCCACGAGAATGGTTGGAAATTGATCTACATACTGTTCACATGATCACTGCCACTGGTACACAAGGTCGTTTTGGAAATGGCCTGGGTCTTGAATTTACAGAGGCATATTTATTGGAATATTGGCGACCACGTCTTGGAAAATGGGTTCGCTATCGTGACGTAAAGGGACAAGAGGTTAGTAGTATTTTTTTTTTTCATTTCAATCCACAGTAATTGGTACATTCTTTTTATATTTGTTTTAAATTAATATTAAAACACTGATTAAAATTCATAAAATTATATTGAATTTTGAAAATTGTGGAAATTATTATTGTTTGATGAAAATAATTAAACTGTCTGTTAATTAAACAAATATATTCACTGTTTGGAAAATTACAATTTTCATATACATCTCATATGCATCTCTTATTTACTGTATAATATTAATAATTGAAAACCGGTATGTTAACAATTTAAGTTTAAAGTGAATTATTATGTATATATTGAAATGTGTATATATAATTATGTTAAATAATTATTCAAGTAATTTACCGAGGGAAATATGCGAGGGGGGAAAAAAATTCTGGTACGTCAAAAATTTAATGCATTTACCCAATTAGACACGAGGAAATTCCTGAAATATATATTCTAATTAAATTTTTGATTTATATACAGATTTTTAAAAATCCCCCTTGGGATTTTAATTTAAATGGTTGAAATATTTTTCTTATAGTAAAAAAAGTAATTTTTCATTGATTTTAGGTGAAACGGGGGTGTTTTGATCAAATTAACCCTTAGATTTTAGGATTAATTTCAAAATTCAAAATGGCGGATCCAAAATGGCTGACACATTTTCGAAAAATTCATTGAATTTGCCTGAAACTCGTTACTCGGGGGTTTTCGTGGTCGCTGATTACGAATCCGATGTTAGTTTTTCAAAATTCAAAATGGCGGATCCAATATAGCGGATGACTTTTTGAAAATCTAATATTATTGGCCTGAAAATTGTAACTCGGGGGTTTTCGGGGTCACTGATTACGAATCAGAGGTCAGTTTTTAAAAATTCAAAATGTCGAATCCAATATGGTGGACAACTTTTAAAATCCTTAATATATTCGTCTAAAGTAAGTAGTTTTCAGTGATTTTAAATATTTGTCCGCCATGTTGCATCCGCCATTTTAAATTTTGAAAAACTGACTCCGGATTCATTTTCAGCGACCCCAAAAACTCCCGAGTAGAGAGTTTCAAGCAAATCCGAACGATTTTTTTAAAATGTGTCAGCCATTTTGGATCCGCCATTTTGAATTTTGAAAAACTAACGTCGGATTCGTAATCAGCGATACCGAGCAACGATTTTCAAGCCAATTGCTCAACATTTGGAAAATGTTTTTTGCATGTTTTTTTGACACTCTTTTTGAAAAAAAAACCCTAAAATCTAAGGGTTAATTTGACCAAAACACCTCCGTTTCACCTAAAATTAATGAAAAATTACTTTTTCTACTATAAGAAAAAGTTTTCAACCATTTAAATTAAAATCCCAAGGGGGCGAAATATAGGCCTTAGGGGCCCACCTCCTTTAGATTCGAATAAAATTTTATTGACAAAAAAAAAATGGTTGGACATTTGTATTAATAAAAATGTTTTTTTGTCAAGGCAAAATCTATTTTACTATTTTATTACAATGACGCGATGATTATTATAATCCAGACAAAAGGTGAGCGCGCGCTCTCGCGACTGCGTCAAAATGAAAAATCAGTTAGAATGAAGAATTGCACACGCGAATATTTTGTATCGCAACCAATCGTAGGTCGAGAAAGGTCCAATTCATCAAGTTGAAAGAGGTCGAAGGCCGCCAGAACTTGAGAAGCAGAAATGAGGCGCCCTTCTTTTAATCTATTATTATCGTGTCACGCAAACCTCCTTTCGCATCACTCTCATGTCAAGCTTTTCATCTGGCATTAAAAAAAAAAAAAAAATAAAATCATGTGAAAATCTGATAATTATATATATATATATAAGAATAGACGTGTTCAAAAAGGTGTGAGAATGAAGGATCAATTCTATAATCAATATGAAAGAGATTAATTTCAGATAAATAAAATTTTATTTCCCTATATAAAAAAATCACTTTTTGAAATATTGGATTAATTTCGAAAAAATAATTTTTTTTAAACCTTTGTAAAAAAAAATTGAAAAAAAACGTTTATTTATTGCAATATCTTAATTTAATATATGTAATAAAGTAATTACCACGTCAAACAAAAATATGAAAAAATATGATTTTAATCAAAGGGGATATTTTTTTTCGATGATTATATATATATATATAGGATATATGTCCTGAGGAAAGGAGGACGAATAGGAAAAGGGACGTTTTGCATTAATGAGTAATAAATTGTCGCGAAATCATGCTCGAGGGCAGGAAATCACTGCTGAAGGGGGGTTAAAGTGTCGTTCATAACGGGTCCAAAGACACGATCTATAAGCATCAGCTGGCGATAATAGCGCGTTTACGAGCGTCATACTGTCGCTCTGTTATACTATGGTTGTAACATTGCTCCCTGAGATGAGTTTCTTAAAACTAATTAATCGCGTAAACTGCAACTTGAATTTATATTCTGTGCGCAACGATGACCTTCGACGTCAAAGAAATTTAAAAAAAAAAAAAAGAATTTTATATTCACATAGAGTTTGATTCAAATTTTTTTTTTTTTTATTTAAAGATTTATTAATTCAAAAATTATTATTCCATCAGAAAAAAATAATTATAACAATACAGTAGTGAAAAAATTAATTCCTTCATAAAATACATTTTGATATTTTTTTATTTTATTATTTCCTCATTTGTCTTCATATTCATTTCAAATTATTATTCCAACTGAATTCAATTTCTCTCTAAAAGCAAAAAAAAAATATATAACATAAAAATATTTCATTATTAATTTGATTTTCATCCTGAATAAATTAATTTCACAAATAAGGTAATATATTCTATTTTTTAAATCTGAAACATGTCGACAATTTTTTTTTTTTTATTAATGTAATTAGATATGAAATCTATTTCAATTGGATTTATTTTCGGGGGAGAGAGAGTATTGTATACAAATGAGAGAATATCTCTGTGTGTGTGTGTGTGCAAATGATTAGAGTCAGAAGTGCAAGCTGATCATATATTTGCAAATGGAAATGTAAAACAAGTGCGTGCGTATTGGCCAGGACGATGCCCTCGTTTAAATAACATTCTTTCCTTTTAGTATTATATGCGATGAGTCAAGCGCGCAGGCACTCAACGACCTCAACCGCAAAAGTTGAAAGTCATCGACAACGCTGCATTTGATGAGTTGATATCACTGCGCGACGTATATGCGGCTGCAAAAAAAAAAAAAGAAATACGCGTGTCTGAATCGCCTCGACTAATGGACCATATATTGACTGTTAGAGATTATGACAAGAGATGAATATAACGCAGGGAGAAAGAGACCATAAAAATAATTTTTTTTTAATACTTTATGGATTTAAAAATTAATGCATTTTTTACACCCTAGCAATAAAAAGACAATATTTTTTGCCTAGGATTAAAAAGAGCTATATATTTTCTGGTATAAAGAACATTTTCTTTGCTCCCTAGTGACAAAAACCTTTGTTTTACTCCCTAGTGATAAAAACGTTTTTTTGTACCTTAATTTTTTACTTCTTAGGGCACAAAACAAAAGATTGTCACTAGAGAGTAAAACACATTTTTTATAATTAGGGAGTAAAACGTATGTTTTCGCGTACTAGTGACGAAAAATTTTATTTTATTCTCTAGTGATAAAAACGTTTGTTTTACTCCCTAGTCTCAAAAACTTATTTTGCGCCAAAGTGATAAAATCATACATTACTCCCTGGGGCGCAAAATACATGTTTCAGTTCCTAGAGGTTAAAATAGGTGTTTTTGCACCCTAGTGATAAAAACATGTTATACTTTCTAAGGCGCAAAATACATGTTTCTATCACTAGGGAGTAAAACATATCTTTTTACGCCCTAGTGTTAAAATATCTTTTTACTCTCCAAGGTGGAAATAAATTTTCTTATCACTAGGGAGAAAACTGATAATTTTGCGCCCTAGTGACAAAAACCTTTGTTTTACTCTCTAGTGATAAAAATGTTTGTTTTGTACCTTAATTTTTTATTTCTTTGGGTACAAAACAAAAGATTATGTCACTAGAGAATAAAACACATTTTTTTATACTTAGGGAGTAAAACGGATGTTTTCGCGCACTAGTGACGAAAAATTTTATTTTATTCTCTAGTGATAAAAACGTTTGTTTTACTCCCTAGTCTCAAAAACCTATTTTGCGCCATAGTGATAAAATCATACATTACTCCCTAGGGCGCAAAATAAATGTTTCAGTTCCTACAGGTTAAAATAGATGTTTTTGCACCCTAGTGATAAAAACATGTTATACTTTCTAAGGCGCAAAATACATGTTTCTATCACTAGGAAGTAAAATATATCTTTTTACGCCCTAGTGTTAAAATACCGTTTTACTCTCTAAGGCTGAAATAAATTTTCTTATAACTAGGGATAAAACTGATAATTTTGCGCCCTAGTGACAAAAACCTTTGTTTTACTCTCTAGTGATAATAACTTTTGTTTTACTCTATAATAATAAAATCTTACGTTTCTTTCTAGGGCACAAAAAAAGTGTTTCTGTTCCTAGAGAGTAAAACATGTTTTTGCGCTCTAGGGACAAAAGCCTTTGTTTTACTCTCTAGTGAAAAAATTGTTTTACTCTCTAATAATAAAATCATGCCTTACTTTCTAGGGCAGAAAGTACGTGTTTCTTTCCCTAGAGAGTAAAACAGATGTTTTTGCGCCTTAGTGATAAAAACATCTATTTTACCCACTAGTGACAAAAACATCTGTTTTACTCTCTAATAATAAAATAATGCTTTACTTTCTAGGGCACAAAATATGTATTTCTGTCCCTAGATAATAAAACATGTTTTTACGCCTTAGTGATAAAAACATCTATTTTACCCACTAGTGACAAAAACATCTGTTTTACTCTCTAATAATAAAATCATGCTTTACTTTCTAGGGCAGAAAGTACGTGTTTCTTTCTCTAAAGAGTAAAACAGATGTTTTTGCGCCTTAGTGATAAAAATATCTATTTTACCTACTAGTGAGAAAAAAATTGTTGTTTTTTTTTTGTATCCTTGGCTTAAAATAAATTCTATTTTATTAATAATTTTCTTCTCTGAAATGAAAATAATTTTCAATTGCATTAAATATCAAAGAAAATACGCATTGGCACGTGAAAACGAATTTTGTTTAAATTTATTGCCATGAATTCGAAGAAATCTCCAAAAACATTTTAATGTTTGCAAATACCGTCGATGAAGCTGCGCGCACGATTTCCCGTTTCGTATATATATATATATATATACAGCAGCTGCTAATGAGAACCGTACTTTTGCCAAGCGCGCGCGTTTTTCGTGACACTATTTATTATTAAAGTCAGACCGAAAAAGTTTCTGCAGTACTCAACTCTGGCCTTAATTACCACCAGGCGGTCTCTTTTGAGACGGACCATAACATGGATACTCTTTCTCGGCCTTTGCTCCCTGATCCTTATTTATATATAATACAAACTTTCTCTCATTTCATGGTGATAATAATTATAATTATTGTTTTTACTAATTTTTTTTTTTAATTAATTTTGCTTAACTATTGAAAATTATTTTGAAATTTATAAATAAATAGTGGATTATTTTCAACATATATTACATGGATCAGTGACGCACTGCTGACAAAAATCGTATATGCGCGCATCTGTTTTGAGGTGCGGTGTGTGTGTAGGTCTGTACGAAAATGTAGCGGACAGAAGAAAGCGGCTGCCGCTAAATGCATTCGCTGTCGCAATAAATCTGTTTTTAGTGCTTGCTGCGATAGGCAAAAAAGGTCACGAGCTTGAATTATAGACACTTCAAATTCACGTATCTCGCACTCTCTCTCTCTCTTTGGCTAACTTTTGCAGAGTCGCCGAAAATTTTCGTTTTAAGTTTGTGTTTTAGCTCCCTTAAATATATTCCTGATCGTTATTAAATATGTATATATTTCCGTTTCTCTGTACAATCAAAACCCTGGGTAAATTTTTGGGGTGCACTTCCGAAAACCCCCCCCTTCCGATTTTAATGAAACTTGGTATACTTACGTAATTTCATGCGCTGATCACGAAAATGATAGTGAAAATTACCGCAAATTTCATTTTTATGGTGAAAACCATAAAAAACACCATAAAATTATGGTTTTTTGCGTTTAACTCGTAAAAAACGCAAAATTAAAAAAAATCGTTCTTACAAAAGTTGTAGAGCTTCTAAAAATGAACATTTTATGTCCTATACATTTTTTACCAAAAGTCATTAGTTTTCGAGAAAAATGCAAAAACATGAAAAGCACACTACAAAAATTACTAATACCACGAAACTGGAATTCCTATAAAGATAGTTTTGAGAGATCGCACATTAAATTTGATTCGTTTGAATATTATATTATTATGATATTATATTATATTATACATATATTATGTATATATAATATATAAGATGTCTTCCCCCCCTCCCCCCCCTGGAAGTAGCTCTGCACAGCAAAGAATGCAGAGGCGGGCGAAGCGCGCCATCCCTAGTATCGTTGCTCTCTATCAAAACAGACAGTCAAATTCACATTCTTAATGGTACTGGAAGGTACGGAACCCACCCCGACCCCCCTCCTCCAAGATGTCTTCCCCCCCTCCCCCCTGGAAGTAGCCCTGCACAGCAAAGAATGCAGAGGCGGGCGAAGCCCGCCTTCCCTAGTATCGTTGCTCTCTTTCAAAACAGACAGTCAAATTCACATTCTTAATGGTACTGAAAGGTACGGAACCCACCCCGACCCCCCTCCTCCAAGATGTCTTCCCCCCTCCCCCCCTGGAAGTAGCCCTGCACAGCAAAGAATGCAGAGGCGGGCGAAGCCCGCCTTCCCTAGTATCGTTGCTCTCTTTCAAAACAGACAGTCAAATTCACATTCTTAATGGTACTGGAAGGTACGGAACCCACCCTGACCCCCCTCCTCGAAGATGTCTTCCCCTAAAAGTTCTTTTGGAAATAGCCCTGCACAGCAAAGAGTAGAAGGTTTTTTATTAAAAGATATTGTCCGTCACATAAGACATCTGCCTCTTGTGGATAATAGCTAGAAGTTGGTGATTTTCACCGTTTTTAAATATTTTGCATTTTTCTCGAAAACTAATGACTTTTGGTAAAAAATGTATAGGACATAAAATGTTCATTTTTAGAAGCTCTACAACTTTTGTAAGAACGATTTTTTTTAATTTTGCGTTTTTTACGAGTTAAACGCAAAAAACCATAATTTTATGGTGTTTTTTATGGTTTTCACCATAAAAATGAAATTTGCGGTAATTTTCACTATCATTTTCGTGATCAGCGCATGAAATTACGTAAGTATACCAAGTTTCATTAAAATCGGAAGGGGGGGGTTTTCGGAAGTTTATCCAATTTTTGTTTCTTTACTAAAATTAGAACTAGAAATAAAAATAAAAATTTTAATTTATTTTCCCTCTATTTAAAAATAAAAAAGTGGGTTGTTGATAAATCATTATTTACGATAGTGAACAATGACGGTGATAAAATAGGGCATTGAAGATAATCATCCAGTGAAGCTTCTTGTGAAGCTCCTCTTCTTCTTCTTCTTCTTCTTCTTCTTCTTCTTCTTGTTCTTCGAATGGGATGACCGTGGTAAGACGGTTGCTCGTTAAAACGTCAGGTGCTCTCGACGTGAAATCACAGACATTTTCCTTGGACGAGGTACCAGTTAAGTTGAAGCCAGAGTAATTATTCGCTATTAACGCAGCACAGTCTCACTGACATAAACATATTTTCATCATCATCACCATTGAAAATTACGTCAGAAAAGGCTTCTAACACACACGCACAGGTATTAATGACATTTATGTGTGTTTTAAGAAAAAGGAAAGGATGGGGGGTTTGAAAACGAGACGTAATTCTCTTCCAGTACTTTGTGCACTTAGCAACTAATGGGTAATCAAAAGTAATATCTTCCTATTTTCATTTCCCATTTTCACGTCTCTTATACATGTATATAGGTATATGCTGCATAATTATTTGACCTTTGGGAAAATACAAATGCTTTGTAATAAAATTTACCTTTAGGAGAATTTGTTCTATATATTGTAATTCTTAGTGATATTTATAGAATAATGGGTAATTTTTATCTAAACAGAATTACAAAGGTGTAAAGGTAAATTTTAAAGCCTCGTTAATGTGGATTGGTTTTTTTTTGATTTCAGGTGATCAAGGGTAATACGAACACCTATTTGGAATCGAAAAGTGAACTAGAACCACCGATTTGGGCTAGTAAAGTTCGTTTTATGCCGTATAGTTATCATAGAAGGACAGTTTGCATGCGAGTGGAGCTCTACGGATGTTATTGGAGTGGTAAGATTCTAATCAATAGACAGAAAAAGGGTTTGAGTTGCTAGCAAAAAAAATTTTGTTAATCAGTTTTTTAATTGCGTTCATAAAATTTCGGTTGTATCAACTAAATTCAGATTGGAATAACCAAAATTTAGTTAGGAAAATAGAAAAATACAAAATGCTTTGGTGACAACACAAACCTTTTTTCTCATTGTTTATATCCTAGTTATTAGATGATTATTAGATTAGATTTTAGATATTAGCCAATATCCATAATCTGTAATAATTCTTACCCAAGTGAAAAAAAATTTGGATGGCTCCAAATTACATTAAGGCTACCTTAAGACTTGGAAGACTTTTTACAAAAGAAATGCTCAAAATTTACTTCAAGGCTCATGGCTCAAAAAGTTGCTGAGGATTTTTTTGACAATGAGGCAACAAAAAATTAAGCACAAATATTTTTAAGCCTTAGAATAGTCTTGGGTAAATCCTTTGCCTTTAGGTAATCAAAAAGTAAGATTTAGGGTAGGCACCGAAGAATTTAGAGCCTTGACCGAGCCTTGAAGTACATTTAACAATAAATTAAGTACCCTTGAATTCTTAGCCTTGAACAGGCTCAAAACTTGCTTAGGATTTTTTTGACAATAAGCCATGAGTAAAAATTAAGCACAAATATTTTTAAGCCTTGGAATAGTCTTGGGTAAATCCTTTGCCTGTAGGTAATCAAAAAGTAAGATTTAGGGTAGGCACCGAAGAATTTTGAGCCTCGACCGAGCCTTGAAGTACATTTAACAATAATTTAAGTACCCTTGAATTCTTAGCCTTGAATAGGCTCAAAACTTGCTTAGGATTTTTCTGACAATAAGCCATGAGTAAAAATTAAGCACAAATATTTTTAAGCCTTGGAATAGTCTTGGGTAAATCCTTTACCTTTAGGTAATCAAAAAGTAAGATTTAGGGTAGGTACATAATTTTGAGCCTCTACCGAGCCTTAAAATATCAATAAATTAAGTACCCTTGAATCCTTAGCCTTGAACCAATTGAGCCTGAGTCATAAGCCTCGGCTCTTAAGCAAATTTTGAATCCCTATCCATTCTTAAGCCATGAGATAATTTTGATATACCCAACATTTTTTTTTTCCCTCGAAATTCTATTCAAAATTACAATTTCCTCTTACAATTATTTCAAAATACAATTTTATTTTCTCTAATGAATTTTAATTAAACATTATCAAGAATTTGCAAAATATGCAAATGAGACGTGTATTGAATTTGAAAGAGTGGAAATCAGATAAGCTGCACGGTCAAGTTTTGTGTAGTACAAGCCGCAGAGTATTTATATATATATGTATTAGGTTGATTATCAAACTCCTTAATCATTCTCCATAGATGGTGTGGTCTCATACTCGATGCCGCAGGGTGATAAGCGTGGCAACGACTGGGAGTTCTTTGACGCGACTTATGATGGTCATTGGGATGGCGAGTTACGACGAGGTTTAGGTCAATTGATCGACGGAAGAAGAGGCTCGGATAATTTTAAAATGGGCTACTATGATTACGATCGTGGACAAGGTTGGGTTGGCTGGAAGAACGATAGTCGCAATGGACAGCCAATCGAGATTAAATTTGAGTTTGACAATGTCAGGGAATTCTCCGCTGTTCATATTTATTGCAACAATCAATTCACCAAGGATGTTCGGGTGAGTTTTTTTTTTTATTGTACTATTCTTTATTCCTTATCCTTATTAACAAAATCCCGTGATGAATTTTGAACAACTAATTAGGTCTGTGTTTGAAATATCAGAGACTGGTTGGCGATTAAATTTGTATCGGTTACGGAGCTTGAGAGAGAGAGAGAGAGGTATTAAATTCGTTTCACATGGGCCACAATGGCAAGGTTGGGCAGCCATCATGAATTTCAGAAGTACAGCCCTGGGGTAGCCGAGGGCCACTGTTTGCCCGGGATCAAACTATAGGTTACTATATATATGTATAGAGAGAGAGAACTGGTAAAATCGCTTCCGCTCGGTTTAGTGTGGTGTGGTTGTGACGTTCCTTGGCAGCGAGTTGAATACCAAAGAAGCATGGACCAACGATCAACAGGCTTTACCCCCCTTATACAGAGTACTAACACCACGCGGTGCTTTCTATATATATGTATATATATATACACCATCATAGTCACATTGAATGGCGTTGGTATATACTCAACGAAAACGTCTTGCCGTCGCGCCGCATCGGTGCTCGACGATGCTGCTCCATACCTGCTGCTTGATTGAATATTCCACTCGACGCTTTATCAGGGATACGCCTGTCGAATCCCAATATTCCATACAGTGCAGTCGATGCAGCTTACGATACCTACATTGTATATACCATCGGGTGCCGCCTCTTGCCTCATTCACATTATTCCATTACATATCACCCTATACACAATTTGAGGGATGAAATGCTTCAAATGATGCCCCAGAAAAGCATTTGATTTTCGTGTAGATTTAACGGAATCTTATTCTCCGGGTTGCGGGGGGTAGAGAATTGAATATTCCCCAAAGAATCCCTTGCAAAATCATATATTGAAAGAAGGTTTCATTAAAACTTGTAATTTCGTGGTTTTCTACTCTATACATAATTTCAACTATTTTTCTAGTAAACTATAAATAAAATTTTGGAATTTTTACCCTCATCAATTATCTAGTAAAAAATACTACATGCCCCAACTTTTTTATTCCAAATTTGATTCAGATTTCTCAATTATCGACAGTGATTTCGTTTCTTACAACTGTCGGTAAAGTAGTTCGCTCAAAAAATTTTATCTTTCTTGTAATTTTTCTTCAACATCTTATTATTTTTTTTATCCTTCTTTTTATAAATGCAAACGTTAATGATGTATTTTTCACGTGCTTTTAAGAACTCGAGATTCAAATATGATAATTCCCATGAAAGTTATGAATTTTTTAAAAGTACGAACGCATGTTCTACTTTGTAATTCAAAATTCGTCCGGCAAAGAAAAGGTTACGTGCGCACACTTCAAGCTCCTTTGAAAGCAGTTATTTCAACTGAAATCAGAATAAATAATGGAAAATGTTTGAAATCATTTTAAATATGCATTATAAAAGCCTTTTTAAAAAAAAGATAAAAAAAATTGTAATGCAATATAAACGTGCTTCCTTAAAACTGCTACTTTAAGATATTTCAAGGGGAAAAAATAGAAAAAAAAAAATTCTTTTTTGTACATAACACCCTAAAGTAAAATTTTTTTTTTTTTATCCAAGATAACGCAAAGTCTCTTCCACAACGGAAATGAAATTCGATATAGAATTGTGAATATTCTTTTTCTATTTATTTTCATAGTTGAATAATATGATTTGTATATAATTTCCGGAGATCGTTGATAAATATATATACGATAATTCGTTACTAGTTTTGTGTATATATATCTGTTGATTTTAACACGCTTACTTGAACCAATATATGTAAATTGAGATTGGTCTAGACTGTTGTCACTTGTAGGTAATACAATCACGTATTTTATACACGAGATGATATAAAACGTTTCTATATGTGTTGGTGTGTATAAGTTTGTGGATATCCCCTCATCCCTTCCCCCCGGATATTGACGGTATAGTCCAACTGCTCAACTCGACCGATCACAGTCCCTCTGCTATATATAGTGGGATTTAATCGGCTGTAACTTTTTCTATGTCACTGATAGTCTTCTCTCTTTAATGTCTCATGGGATAAGCAAGTTCAATTCGATTTCGTGAAACTACACTTTCGTTGATCATTGACACGTGTTTACTTTTTTAGAGATCTCGCATCTTCTTGAATTGTTTTTATTGCCTTTTATCAAAATTTATGTCCAATACTCTTAACGACTAACTATACTCATTTTTTTTTTTTTGGATATAAAATAGCACTCAGAAATTATATTCTTCAAGAAAAGTTATCGAGTCACGTTGCATTTTATTTAATTCATATTTTTATTTTGTAAATTATTCGCTGTAATTAATTTAAGAGCATATATTGTTTTTGTTAAACTATTCTGTGTATCATGTATGAGAAAAATTATATTTTCGATTAATGTAAATGCAGCACAAAATTGTTAATTTATGTATAGTTAAATTTTACTTCATAATGTGCAGAAAAGTATACTTTTCCGCACTGTTTTATAATTCTGGTACATATTATGCTGAAAAGTTTCATTTTCTGCACTGTTTTTACAATTTTGCTGTATACTGTGCGGAAAAGTATACTTTTCTTCACTGTTTTTACAACTTTGTTGTATACTATAGGGAAAAGTATATTTTTCTGTACTGTTTTTTCAATATTATTATGTACAATGTGCAAAAGTATACTTTTCCTCACTGTTTTACAATTCTACTGCATACTATTTTAAAAACTATACTTTTTCGCACTGTTTTCATAACTTTCTTGTATACTGTGCGAAAAAGTATACTTTTCTGCACTATTTTATAACTTTGCTCTATACCGTGCGGAAAAGAATACTTTTCCAAACTGTTTTTATAACTTTACTGCATACTACGTGGAAAAGTATACTTTTCTTCACTTTTTTTTATTATTCTTGCACTGCTGTGCTGAAAAGTATAGTTTTCCACATTGTTTTGACAATTATTCTATATACCATTCAGAAAAATGTACTTTTTTGTACTGTTTTGATAATTTTACTACTTCTTATTGAGAAAAATATACTTTTTCTGCACTGTTTTTATCATTATCTGCGTAATATTTTGAAAAGTATACTTTTCATTATTGTTTTTTTATTCTACTACATAATGTGCTGAAAAGTATACTTTTATGCACTGTATTTACAACTTTTCTGTATACTATGCTGAAAAGTATTCTTTTTTTTTACTGTTTTTATAACTCTTCTATATACTATGCTGAAAAGTATAACTTTCCGCACTGTTTTTATTATTCCGGCACTACTTTGTAGAAAAGTATACTTTTTTAGAATGGTTTTTTAATTTTGTTATTTTTTATGTAGAAAAATTGACTTTTCTGCACTTTTTCTATAACTGTGCTGAAAAGTATCATTTTCCGCACTGTTTTACAATTCTACTGCATACTATTTTAAAAAGTATACTTTTCTGCACTGTTTTTACAATTTTATTGTATACAATTCACGAAAGTATACTTTTCTTGACTATTATCATAACTTTGTTGAGTACAATTTACAAAAATGTATTTTTCTGCACTATTTTTTAGTATTCCTGCACTACTTTGCTGAAAGTATACTTTTCCGCATTGTTTTGGCAATTTTTCTATATACCATTCAGAAAAATGTACTTTTTTGCATTGTTTTGATAATTTTACTACTTCTTATTGAGAAAAATTTACTTTTTCTGCACTGTTTTTATCATTATCAGCGTAATATTTTGAAAAGTATACTTTTCATTATTGTTTTTTATTATGCTACATACTGGGCTGAAAAGTAAATTTTTCTGCACTGTATTTACAACTTTTCTATATACTATGCTGAAAATTATTCTTTTCTTTACTGTTTAAGTAAAAGTGTAACTTTCAGCACTGTTTTTATTATTCCGGCACTACTTTGTAGAAAAGTATACTTTTTTAGACTGGTTTTTTAATTTTGTTATTTTTTATGTAGAAAAATTCACTTTTCTGCACTTTTTCTATAACTATGCTGAAAAGTATCATTTTCCGCACTGTTTAAAAAAATTTTCTGCGTACCAAGCTGAAAAATATTCTTTTCAGAATAGTATGCAGCACAGTTATAATATAGTGCAGAAAAGTGTACTTTTTAGTACAGTATGCAGCAGAATTGTAAAAGCAGTGCAGAAAAGTATACTTTTTAGCATAATTTGCAGCAGAATTATAAAAACAGTGCAGAAAAGTATTTCTTATCGTATCAAAAATAGAAAAATTATAAAAATAGTAATTACAGTTTTTAAAAATAGTTTTTACAACTTTTCTGCTCACTGTGAAGAAAAGTATACTTTTCTTCACTGTTTTCATAATTTTTCTGTTTATGTCAAAAAATACACTTTTCTGCACTTTTTCTATAACTGTGTTGAAAAGTATCATTTTCTGCACTGTTTTTAAAAAATTTTCTGCGTTCTAAGCTATAAAATATTCTTTTCAGAATAGTATGCAGCACAGTTATAATATAGTGCAGAAAAGCGTACTTTTTAGTACAGTATGCAGCAGAATTGTAAAAACAGTGCAGAAAAGTATACTTTTTAGCATAATTTGCAGAAGAATTATAAAAACAGTACAGAAAAGTGTTTTTTACTATATCAAAAATAGAAAAATTATAAAAATAATAATTACAGTTTTTAAAAATAGTTGTTACAACTTTTCTGCACACTGTGAAGAAAAGTATACTTTTCTGCACTGTTTTCATAATTTTTCTGTTTTTCATGTCGAAAAATACACTTTTCTGCACTGTTTTTATAACAATTTCTGCACACCCTGGGCAAAATATTAAAGGGTACAACTTTCTCATAAAAATATATATTTTTTTTTTTTTGATGTAAGAAATTTATTATAATATTGAAATTTTATTCAATGCCCATTATCAAATACATTCCTAAAGCAAATAGTTGACAAGGTAGATGGACACTCTACATTATTATGCGACCGCGTATAGATAAACGAGCGCTTTTGCCGGGATTTGAATCGTATTCTGGTCGCATGCAACGTGGCGGCACGCTTTTGAATCGAATATTCCATACGAGACTTTCGACAATCGCGAACGTTTTGTACTCTCTCTCTCTCTCTCTCTCTCTCTCTCTCTCTCTCTCTCTCTCTCTCTATATATATATATATATATATATATATATATATATATATATATATATATATATATATATATATATATATGTATATGTAGAAACGTTGAGGCATGGACAAGTACAAATGAGCTTTGTACCAAATGTATATCCAGTGTCTATTTTATGTACATTCCTTTTTATATTTATATACCCTGTATATATAAAATATATAAATTTATCGAAGAACGATTAAATTTAAATTAAAATAAAATAAATAGGAAAATATATCGCGAGTAAATATCATATTTTTTTCTCATTCGCAGAGTTGATATTTTATTTATTTTTTTTTTTCTAAAGCTCGATTTTTGTCGGAGGAATAAACCTCGCTAAAAAAAACATTCGAGTTTCTCTGTTATTGATGCCTCAATTGTTCCGTCGTTTGTGTGTCCGTTGGACGTTTCATTTAAAATTACTCTTGGATACTTTACACCGAGAATACACGAGTGACACGTAATGGACTGTGTCTGCCTCTTAAATAATGAAATAACATTTAAAAATTCTACAATATTACTCAGAGATGTTACTGTCACTGTCGACCTGAATAAATATATATATTTATATCAAGCTCAATTAAAATTTTTATTATCAAATGTTGACATTTTATATATCAATAGAATTTTCAATAAAACTGCAATTAATTTTTCCATTTGTTACTTTGTTTTTAAATTTATTTTTATAAAACTTTTTTTTTATTTAAATTTTATTTGAGAAAAATAATTCATTTTGAAAAAAAAAAATTGACAAAAAATGTTTTTTGTGTATGCGCATTCCTAGAATCTTGCATATATAACTCGATTTCAATCGAAATGCTAAAACCCTTGATTTATAAGTGAATGATGTAGTCGATCGAACTTGGAAAATTCAGCAAAGTTTAATAAAAACGTCTATATGAAAGTCATAAGAATTTGAACGAATATACGTATTCACGTGGATAGACTTGAATTCTAGCTACCTCAGGCAGTTTTGATCTCTCGCATACGTCAAATATAGAATTGAAGCTATATATATAGGAAAATGCTGCCTTCAGAACTTTCAATAAACTATCATAGGTATACACTAAAAATAATAAAGGATCAGAAATTGTCTAACAGAAATTTTATATTGTTTCTCATTAATATTATTTCGAACTTTTTTCTAATATCATTTAATTCTAAAATATTTTCTTTCAACTATATTTTTTTGTATAGTCTCTAAAATCCACTTTCATGTCCTTTGCCAGTATCGTTATATTCATTCGGCCAAGATGAATAACGTCTTGAAATTTAATTTTTTTCCTTATGAAAGGGGTGAATTAATTTGTAGAATGAAAGACGAAGAAAAAGATGGTAATCAAAACGAAATTAAATTTTCATTTTTTTTTTCTTTTATTATAATTTCAGGTTTTTTCTCAAGTTGACATTCTCTTCAGTATTGGTGGAAAGTACTATCCAGGAGAACCAATCACTTACACCTATATGGAGGATAATATTTTCGAAACCCCTCACAACATATCCGTGAAGCTTCATCATCGAGTCGGAAAATTTGTGAAACTGAAGCTTCATTTTGCTGCAAAATGGATTATGGTCAGCGAAGTTAATTTCGATTCTGGTAAGTAAATTTCCAAACTATCAAATTGTTAACACAAGGGTTTTAATATTTAATTATAATTTTTTTTCTCTTATCAAAAAATTTTTGTTTTCCCTTCGAGGAGTACAATTTTCCTCAAAACAATTAATTAAATGATAGGGAAGAGGATAAGATAATACCGCGAATTGTTCTCCCCCATTTTTTTTTTTGCAAGCTGTTTGTGACGTGATATGATTTGCGAAAGTCATACAGAGAGAGACAAGGGGGTTTTTTATATTTTATTTACTCCTCCTGTTTTTCGCGAATCCTATTTTTTTTTTATTTCGATCCAAAAGTGAGTCGCATGTTTCTCCCGTGCGTCGAACTGTCAATCATGTAAAAAATAAATCCCAATAGTGCAGAGATACACGGGGTAATTGACAATAGCTTATTGAAAATCTGCCAGAGCGAGATTTAAATTAAGCAACACACGCGATTTATGGGAGACAGCTAGGAAAAATATACATATACAGAGATAAATCCATTCTTCCTATGTGTATATATATATATATATATAGTCCTATCTTGAAAGGATTTTGTTGCCATATAGTCTAGCTTCTATAAATCACCTCCACTTTCAATATATATGTTTATCTCGCAAAAACTCTTTAAACTTATATATTCCTCAGATTTCATTCCAATTTTGTTTTATAATTTATAAGACACTATAAATTATATGGAAATATTTTAGGTTGTAGAAATTTTTACTGTCCAATTGAAATACTTCCTCTACAAAGGAGGAAATAATGAAATTAGAAATCCCACCGCTGCCACCAAATAATGTAAAAATAGTTTCTTTTATTATTCAGGTGTATTAAATGATATTTTTTATATTGAGAATATTTTCTCTACGGAGGAGGAAGCAGAAGAAATCAGAAATCCCACCGCTGCCACCAAATAATTTAAAAATCAGTTTTTTGATTAGTCTATGAATTATATGGAAATATTTTATTTCAAATTGTAGAAATTTTTATTTTCCAATTAAAATACTTTCTCTTAAAAAGAGGAAGCTGTGAAATTAGAAATCCCACCGCTGTCACCAAACAATGCAAAAATCATTTTTTTATTAGTCAGTTATATTAAATGATTTTTTAAAAAATTAAAATATTTTCTGTACGGAAGAGGAAGCAGTAGAATCAGAAATCCCACCGCTGTCACCAAACAATGTAAAAATAATTTGTTTGATTAGTCAGGCATATTAAATGATTTTTTTATAATAAAAATACTTTCCCTACGAAAAAAAAGCGAAATCCCACCGCTGTCACCAACAAATGTAAAAATAACGTTTTTCATTTTCCTTTGGTTCCTTGGAAACTTGTTAAATATATTTCTATATAAATTAGTATATTATAATTATAATTACTATAGTAAATGATATTAGTAATATTTTAATAAAAAATAAAGTGAAAAAGCACCCGGAGGTATCATAATGATTAGTATGATAATTTCGGTAATTTGAAAAAGTCGTTAATAAAATTGGCGCTGTTCCTTTTGGTTCCTTGACGTCGATGTACCTCGTTAAATATTTTTCTATTAAGCAAACAAAGTGCAAATAAACGTCGTTTGGTTGAAACCGTTTCATGAAGCTTCATTACGGGATAATTGAATATATGAGCTGAGAAAATACGTCGAATTATGTGTATTTATATACTCCATATGTGTATATGTATATATATATATATATATAAACGAGAAAGATACCATTGAAGAGAGAACCCTTTGTAAATGGGTGATGGTATACATATACATATATATACGTGATGAGAACGAAGCTTCAGCACAGTGGGTTGCTAATGACCATCGCTGGAGCCATTCTGCTTTGTCCAGAGGCTATTTTCCATCCTGTTTCCAACCCCCATCTCGGTTTTCTCACCCCTATACACCCCCCCCCCTTTCCCCAGCCAGCATTACCCCATTCCTCTAACTCACCGAGAGAGCCACGACTGATAATTTTCTATACGGACGGATATCTTTCACTTTACATCCGATACACCCCCGAATTTCAATACCCTTTTCTGCCTCAATAAACGAGTTTTGTTATTTCACCTTTACCATATCCCAAATTCAAAATCCCCCACGTTAACAAAACAAAAAAGGTGTTACGGATTATTTCTCAAAACAGATATACAAAAATAAAATACATATATTCACAAATGTATTAAATTTCAATTGTTTTATTTGAAAATAATATTCAATATCAATTTGATAATTGGACAGTAGTTGAAAATTTTAATATTTTCAAACATTTGATTTTCTGAATTTGTTAATTTATAAATTGCACAATTTTTGTTTTATCTGTTAGCAAATAGATTTGGCTTTCCAATCTATGTACCGTCGGTATGGTAGATATTTGAACGCGGGAAATTCAAATTAAAATTTTCCAAATAATTTTTATACAAATCTGTCATAGTAAAAAATTTGCAACAAATGCTAAAAGAATTTGGAATTTTAATTTAAAATAATGTTAAACCTACTAGGTTTTTGCATTCTTGCGGCACAAAAGAAAAGGTCAATGTCTAGACCCTCTCTTTCTGAACTTTGCCACATTCCTTCTGTTGTCTTAGTTGGCGTCAAGTATCCTTTTCGCGGGGAACAAGTCACTGAAAAGATTTAATTGGATGCGTATTCCCCTCTCCCATAAATTCTTTTTGTTCGGCATTTTTCTCTTATAACCCTTTTTTTTCCTCTATCTTCTTCCATCTAATTTCCTCTTTTTCCCTCTCGTTATATTTCCTCAAGCTGTCAAAGTTTGAGACGCACTCATATATATATATAAAGAGAGAGAGAGATAGATAGCTCTACCCTATTTACTCGACAATTCATAAAAGACTCGAAGCGATTCGACACGATTGCTCGACTTCTTGTTAATAACCGTGAAGGAAAATAATGGTGCCTTCAAGAGACTTTCCATCGATTTATAAAAGAAAAAAAAAAAATTTTTTTTATTTTAAAATAAGCATAATTGGACAAAGAAATACGAAACTTTTGCGCCCCCTTCTTTGGTTGCTTTTTCCTTGTCATATAATAAAAAAAAAAGTGATTGGAAAAATTTTTTTAAGTATCTTTTACCCTGAGCAAAAGTTAATGAACTTGACATCAAATTTCAATCATAAAAATGAACAAAGAAACGTTGATATTTTTTTTTTATGGAGTGCATGAATCAGATCTTATTTGCAAGCGAAAATGATATAATTGGAATGAATCGAGCGGAAAAGCGCAGTCAGTAGGTTGCGAGAGAGTAGTTTAGGTGTTCGACAACTATTAGAGACTTTGTCGTACAACTTCCGTCGCGGTCTCAGCATCCTCCTTGTGTTTATCGTTTGCAGAAGATGTCATGAACATTCGCATGCTCGCACACGTGCAGCTGTTGCTGACACTCAATGTCAAACGCAACTAATACACTCCTTGATCTCTCGCTTTTGCAACTATGGTTAAAACGAGTGCCTCACCCGTTGCCAATTTTAACCTCTCTCTCTCTTTCTCTCTCTCTTTCTCTTTGATTTAACGCTTGAAATGGAAATGTACCATGAACCTGGTTTCTGAATCGACAGTTTTTCTATTCTCTCTCTTTTTATCCATTCATTCATTCCTATTCTCTAATCAGACGCGTTTCCTGCCACGATCCATTGTACCAAACTAAGGACTTCCCCTAGAATTGGGACTCAAGAAGCGGATAATTTACCCAATTGCTCTCCTAAACCTCATTCTTCTCTCTTTTTATCTGTAATTCGAATTTTCTTTCATAAGAAGAGGTTTAATTTGTAAACACATGATTTTCAAAAGAATTCAATTAGGATTTTTTTTTATATTTATTTATTGAATTTTTATCTTTAGAGAAAACGGATCATAATATTTCTTTGGGCAAAATAATTTAGTACCAAAAGAAATAGAAACAGTTTTCGATTCTTTTTACAATTTTGTTTACACTATGCGGAAAAGTATACTTTTTTGTACTGTTTTACTATTTTTTTTACATACTAAGCAGAAAAACATACTTTTTTGCACTGTTTTTTAATATTCTTGCGCTGCTGTACTGAAAAGTATAGTTTTCTGCACTATTTTTACAATTTTTTTGTATACTATGCAAAAAGGATACTTTACTGAACTATTTTATAACTTTGCTGTAAACTGTGCGGAAAAGAATACTTTTCTAAACTGTTTTTTTCCTACTATGTGGAAAAGTATACTTTTCTTCACTGTTTTTTATTATTTCTGCACTGCTGTGCTGAAAAGTATAATTTTCCGCACTGTTTTTACAACTTTCTTGTATACTATGCGAAAAAGTATACTTTTCTGTACTATTTTTACAACTTTCTTGTATACTATGCGAAAAAGTATACTTTTCTGCACTATTTTATAACTTTGCTGTACACTGTGCAGACAAGAATAATTTTCTAAACTGTTTTTTTTCTTCTATGTGGAAAAGTATACTTTTCTTCACTGTTTTTTATTATTTCTGCACTGCTGTGCTGAAAAATATAGTTTTCCACACTGTTTTTACAACTTTCTTGTATACTATGCAAAAAAGTCTACTTTTCTGCACTATTTTATAACTTTGCTGTAAACCATGCGGAAAAGAATAGTTTTCTAAACTGTTTTTTTCCTACTATGTGGAAAAGTATACTTTTCTTCACTGTTTTTTATTATATCTGCAATGCTGTGCTGAAAAGTATAATTTTCCGCACTGTTTTTACAACTTTCTTGTATACTATGCGAAAAAGTATACTTTTCTGTACTATTTTTACAACTTTCTTGTATACTATGCGAAAAAGTATACTTTTCTGCACTATTTTAAAACTTTGCTGTACACTGTGCAGACAAGAATAATTTTCTAAACTGTTTTTTTCCTACTATGTGGAAAAGTATACTTTTCTTCACTGTTTTTTATTATTTCTGCACTGCTGTGCTGAAAAGTATAATTTTCCGCACTGTTTTTACAACTTTCTTGTATACTATGCGAAAAAGTATACTTTTCTGTACTATTTTTACAACTTTCTTGTATACTATGCGAAAAAGTATACTTTTCTGCACTATTTTATAACTTTGCTGTACACTGTGCAGACAAGAATAATTTTCTAAACTGTTTTTTTTCTTCTATGTGGAAAAGTATACTTTTCTTCACTGTTTTTTATTATTTCTGCACTGCTGTGCTGAAAAATATAGTTTTCCACACTGTTTTTACAACTTTCTTGTATACTATGCAAAAAAGTCTACTTTTCTGCACTATTTTATAACTTTGCTGTAAACCATGCGGAAAAGAATAGTTTTCTAAACTGTTTTTTTCCTACTATGTGGAAAAGTATACTTTTCTTCACTGTTTTTTATTATTTCTGCACTGCTGTGCTGAAAAGTATAATTTTCCGCACTGTTTTTACAACTTTCTTGTATACTATGCGAAAAAGTATACTTTTCTGTACTATTTTTACAACTTTCTTGTATACTATGCGAAAAAGTATACTTTTCTGCACTATTTTAAAACTTTGCTGTACACTGTGCAGACAAGAATAATTTTCTAAACTGTTTTTTTTCTTCTATGTGGAAAAGTATACTTTTCTTCACTGTTTTTTATTATTTCTGCACTGCTGTGCTGAAAAATATAGTTTTCCACACTGTTTTTACAACTTTCTTGTATACTATGCAAAAAAGTCTACTTTTCTGCACTATTTTATAACTTTGCTGTAAACCATGCGGAAAAGAATAGTTTTCTAAACTGTTTCTATAACTTTCCTGCATTCTATGCTGAAAAATACATTTTTCTGTATAGTTTTTTATTATTTCGGCACTGCTGTGCTAAAAAGTATAATTTTCCGCACTCTTTTCACAACTTCCTTGTATACTATATGAAAAAGTATACTTTTCTGCACTATTTTATAACTTTGCTCTATACCGTGCGGAAAAGAATACTTTTCCAAACTGTTTTTATAACTTTACTGCATACTATGTGGAAAAGTATACTTTACTTCACTTTTTTTATTATTCTTGCACTGCTGTGCTGAAAAGTATAGTTTCCGCACTGTTTTTACAACTTTCTTGTATACTATGTGAAAAAGTATACTTTTCTGCACTATTTTTATAACTTTTTTGTATACTATGCGAAAAAGTATATTTTTCTGCACTATTTTATAACTTTGCTGTAAACTGTGCAGAAAAGAATACTTTTATAAACTGTTTTTTTTCCTACTATGTGGAAAAGTATACTTTTCTTCACTGTTTTTTATTATTTCTGCACTGCTGTGCTGAAAAGTATAGTTTTCCTCACTGTTTTTTCATTTTTTCTATATACCATCCAAAAAAATATACTTTTTTGTATTATTTTATTAATTTTGCTACTTATGCAGAAAAATATACTTTTCTGCACTGTTTTTATAACTCTTCTGCATAATATTTTTAAAAAGTATAATTTTCTTCATTTTTTTTTTATCTTTGTTTTCTGCAAAAGTTATCTATACATGAAAGAACACACACGTGACGGTTTGGCGTCAGCTGTAGCCACGCGACTGAATTCCTACCGCGCGATTCTCAAACACGATGTGACGCGAAAGAAATAGAGATAAAGAAATAAGAAAAAAGGCATGAAAAAAAGCAGACTTCAGAGAAGTTTCAAAAAGACCTTGACTAGGTTTCGTGTCTTATTATTCTCTTTCAAATTTATTACTGAATTACCACCTTTCTTTGTTCCTTTATTTTCAAAAAAAATTATTTGTAATATACGATTTTTTTTTCCACAATAAAAATTTTTAAAAAAACTGTCTGCAATTACGCGACAATCACGAATCGGAGAACAACGCCTCGCATTCCAAGCAAAAATTCCCCTCGCAGATGCTTTATAAAAGAGGAAAATTATCTCTGTATATGTGTATAGTGTCAACACTCTGCGCGCGATAATAAAAATATTTTTCTGCTTGTAAACAGTCTCTCTTTTCAATTCCAAAAGGAATTCTTTTCGTGAAAACGAGAAAGAAGCGCGAGCGCTAACATTTTCAGTGAATTTTCTAGTGATGAGAGTTGGGCGAAAAAAAAGAGAACTATGAAACTTTGGAGTTACAGCATCCGTGGGGTAAAAGGTTCCTGGCTGCTGCTGTTGCTGCAACACCTGACACCCACATTGCAAAACCACCGACCCACCACCATCACCATCTCTGTCGCCGTCATCATTCGCCTTCCTCTGAGAGAATGAGAGAGAACCCCTTTTCAGTTTACCCGGCGTGCAAAGAATGTTTAATATCAGATTTCATAGAGCGGGGTAAATGGGGGGATGAGGCTCGAGCTGGCACGTAAAAGCCGATATCAAACACGACGACAGCTTTGTTTCCATGGAATAATCCTGTCGGGAATCCAGCGGTCCGCATACCCGTCTAGTCTCTCTCTCTCTCTCTCTCCCTCTCTTACTCTCTAGGTATAAAGTCGTGCGTGTACTATACTTGATCCTTCTCTTTATCCGCCCTTCTCGAAGCATGTTTCTCAGATGTATTTTTCGAACTCTCCGTCTTTTAGTGAAAATGAAAGAAAAGAAATAAGACGTTACATTGGCACTGACATTTACTACTGAGACGTGTAACAGGCGTATACGAGTGTGTCACTTCACGCTAAAGCACAAGGTGGATACACTCCTTGCCAGTGCTTCCCAAAGTTCCTTTCATCAGTTGTCTTCTTTGGATACGCGGGATGATGTTCGAAAACAATCATCGCCGAAAAGTAAACCGAAAGGTTTTTTTTTTGAAGAATTTTGCTGAAACAGATTAAGGAAACATAGCAAGGAAAAAAATTATGAATTAGAATAGAAAAATTATAAATTAGTTGTAGTTAATTTGCCGCAAGGGAATTAAAAGATAGAAATTAAGTAGCATCTGTAGGTAAAAATGTGGAATGTACAAAAAAAGTTAATCAGATGAAACCAGAGCATCAATTAACAGCATCTATAATATTAGTTGTTACCGTTGAATTGATTTGTTAGACAGCAAAATTTTAGCTACCAATTACAAACAAGGAATACAAGTAGCATTAACAAATAATATTCATACCGAGGAATTCTACAAATATTTGTTGGATTCCTACTACAGAAGGTATTTAATATGTTAAACAGTACAAAATTTTAGAAATAACATCCGTATGTGGAATTTAAAGAACAGAAAAGTCATTTTGTTTTGAAAAAAAAAATTTAAGAATGCTGTAAAAAGAATCTGAGAACCACTGATTTCTCAAATGCGAGTCAGAGAGGCCTTTTTGATAAATTTGAGCAGATGCTACATGTCCAGGGATAAATTGTAGGTCATCTTTCTTATCCAAGGCCAACGCGAACATGCTGCGTTTGCGATTTCTACTCTACAATTGCTACATCATCCCGCAGAGATAATCTCTTATAAGAAAAGCAGCTACCCATGTTGCATAAACTCGAAAAATTTACATTAAAATAGAAAACCTATTTCTATTATAACCTTTGCAAAAATCACTTTTCTCATCATAAAAAAAAAGATTACGAGAAACATGATACTGAAAATTAGATGAAAAATTATAATTAAATTTTAGATTTCCTTGTTTTTTTTTTACAGATGTTGCTCATGGAAATTTTACCATTGAAGATCTAACATCAACAGAAACACCTGTACAGAGTGATGTACTTATAGAAAAAAATAAAGTATCGGAAGGTGAGCTTCCGGTTTCAACGGCAAAACACGATGATCCAACTTATATGGCCGTTGTGATAGGAGTCCTAACTGCAGTAATCCTTCTTTTAGCGGTTGCCATTTTTCTGATAGTATCACGTCACAGGCAACGAAAATGCTTTGCCAGTCCTATGACAGGTAGAGCTCCTTCTCATCTGGGATCAACTTGTGCGACAGTTGAAAAAGGTGCAGCACTCATGGCATACACCCTCGAGGATGATGAAAAGTAATTTTTCAAATTTCTATTTTATAATTCATATTTTTAATAATTAACAATTTGCAAACATTTAGTTTTTCTTGTTAAATTAATTTTATCTAATGGACAATTTAATTGCCATACTGTGCTGGAAAGTATGATTTTCTGTTACCATTTTTCTGTATACTCTACTAATCCTGTCTACCTTGCTGGAAGTGTACTTTTCTCCACTGTTTTATAAGTTTGCAGTATGCTATGCGGAAAAATATACTTTTCTGAACTGTTTTCATAACTTTCCTGCATACTATGCTGAAAAATATATTTTTCTGCAATGTTTTTATAACTTTCTTGCATACAGTGCGAAAAAGTATTTCTTTCTGCACTGTTTTACCATTCTTTTGCATTCTATACAGAAAAGCATACTTTTTTGCACTGTTTGTACAACTTTCCTGTATTCCGAGCAGTAAAATATATTTTTCTGTACAGTTTTTATAATTTACCATTTTTTATGTAGAAAAATACACTTTTCTGCACTATTTTTAGAGTTTCTGCATACAATACAGAAAATTATACTTTTCTGAACTATTTTATAACTATGCTGTTAACTATGCGGAAAAGAATACTTTCCTGAACTGTTTTTGTAACTTTCCTGGATACTGTGCTGAAAAATATACTTTTCTGCACTGTTTTTTTATAACTTTTATTGCATACAATGCTAAAAAGTATATTTTTCTGCACTGTTTAACCATTCTTTTGTATAATATAAAGAAAAGCAGACTTTTCCGCACAGTTTTTTTAATATTCCTGTACTCCGGGCAGTAAAGTATACTTTTCTGTACAGTTTTCATGATTTCCCATTTCTTATGTAGAAAAATATACTTTGCTGCACTAGTTTTTTAACTTATGCAAACTATACTGAAAAGTATACTTTTCTGCACTGTTTTATAAGTTTGCTGTATGCTATGCGGAAAAATATACTTTTCTCCACTGTTTTCATAACTTTCTTGCATACAGTACGGAAAAGTATATCTTTCTGCACTGTTTTACCATTCTTTTGCATGATATACAGAAAAGCATACTTTTCTGCACTGTTTGTACAACTTTTCTGTACTCCGAGCAGTAAAATATACTTTCTGCACTGTTTTTTTATAACTTTTATTGCATACAATGCTAAAAAGTATATCTTTCTGCACTGTTTTACCATTCTTTTGTATACTATACAGAAAAGCAGACTTTTCCGCACAGTTTTTTTAATATTCCTGTACTCCGTGCAGTAAAGTATACTTTCCTGTACAGTTTTCATGATTTCCCATTTCTTATGTAGAAAAATACACTTTTCTGCACTACTTTTTTTTAACTTATGCACACTATACTGAAAAGTATACTTTTCTGCACTGTTTTATAAGTTTGGTGTATGCTATGCAGAAAAGTGTATACTATTTTTATTTTTATAATTTCTATTATTAATAATTAACATTCAACATTATTTACTTATTACATTACTTGAAAAAATTAACTTTACTAGACAATTTAATTTTCCCAATTGACTTTTTTATCGCTTTTTTTTAAATCAAATTTAAAAGAGAAATCTAGCAATGTCTTTATATATTGAACCAGTTTATTTTATCGTTCATCAATCGACATTTCCTCGTTAAGAATGGTCCAATAACCTTCAATATATATAGGACCGACATCCAAGTGAGTCAATATCGACATGACTTGGACGTGAACGGCCTATAATCTGTTTTCCTCAATAACCTCTGTTAATCCTTCGACATTTCACTGTCAGATATGCCGGTGGTTCTCTTCCCACACTGCCTAGAGATCTTGGAAATCGACTTTTGGATATCGTGAAACTTGACGACTATCAAGAACCATATCAAGCCCTCAAATATGCTCCTTATTATAGTTATAGCACCGTTGTGATGGAGATGAAGGACATGATAATACCAAGCAAGGGCATCAATTCCAATACAGGTATTTATATTTCTTTTAATTAAATTTTTATTAAATTTCCCCCTTTTATAGAAATATTTTTCCATTTTTAAAAATTATCCATTTATCAATTATTATTGAAAATTAATTCTGAAAGTGTTGCTTCAATAGCTCAATTGGTAAGAATTATACTATTTTATAATTGTAAGGCTGTGGTTCAAATCCCACTGACGGTGAATATTTTTCTAGCCTTTAGAAATAATTATCTCGAAGATAGTTATAAGTTATAAGATACAAATGTATAAACATACAGGTTTCAATTAGAAAAATAGTAATTTAAGATGATGTGGATAATTTTTGATTAATTAATATATGGACAATTTTTTTGTAATTACATTTATAGAATTTTTGATTTTTAACTATACAATATACGTATTTCTCCTCATGTTGTATATATATATATACATGCTGTGGAATTCTGCGTACAATGGAACCCTTTAACCGCAATCAATACAACCCGTTTGCTTTATCACCCCCTGTAGCGGTATATGCCAACGGTGCAGTTGACACATCCTACGATTATGCGGTACCGGAACTCGGGAAGGTGCCTCTTCTCAATTCTGATTGTTCCAATGGGGGAAGGCCACTGTCAAGCACTGGCAGCGAACAGGACAGTATTTTTTCGAAAACAACTCGAAACAGTAAAACGGAAGATAAAAAGGTAAGAGAAATTGTTCAATTATTATTTATTTCTCTATAAAAAGATAGTTTCAAATTATTGAATTTATTTAGGTTGATTCAAGCAATAAATAAACCAATTAATTTTAGCAGAACATATAGTATGTATATATATATTTCTCTGAATAATATTTAAAGTCGTTACAAGAAAAATCAAAGTGTACAGAAAGACTGCTCGTAGTCTACTGAAAAATATACCTACCCGAAGGTATTGCAATTACTCACATTTTACCTGAGGTACAGCATTTTGGAAAACAGAAAAGTGGGAGGTTTATAAATAGGGTACAAATATAAAAAAAACATCTGATCGTCATCGGCAGAAATAGGTGACGAACCATTTTTATTACTGTACCTGCACTAAAGAGACTTAATCCTCTAATCCTTTGACTAGACACGTTTTAAGAGATAAGATAAACTTTCTAAATATACAGCTGATTGTAAAATTTATATTTAAGATCTTCTAAATTCAATACAAATATTGCAAAAATTATTTCCAAAATATCTTAAATGTACCGAGGCGATTTTGGTATATTTTATTACCTTTATTCCAAGCTATATATGTTTACATTGTTAATACAAATATACCTTAAGCTGTAGGTCATAAACAATGTGGTTGGAAAATCCCAAGGGTAATTAAATCAGTTGCAATTCGTGTATTGACCTATTTAAACGCGGGCAACATGTGTGTTAATTTTGTGTTTTTATAAGCATAATTTGTCTATGTTCTTTATTGTTTTTTTTTTTGGATTCTACAGTTTTCGAAATTCTTAAAATTGCGAACACGAAAATAAGTAGAAAAAGTATTTTATTTTTTAATTTAACAACGTGATGCAGTTTTTGATAGGACCAACAGCATCCATAATGGACCAAAGAGGTCAAAAAATTTTTGTAATAAACTCTGAAGCATAGCAGAAAACTTATCTCCAGATAGTGCTTTGCAAAAAATACATAGGATACTTTTTGATAGGACCAACAACATCCGAGCAACAATGGACCAAAGTACAGAAATATTTTGAAATTTAAAATTTTTGAAATAATTGAATCTCATAGCAATATATGTACACACAAAGAGAGATTTATTGCCATTTGTACAAGCCTTATGGATTCTATCTTGCTTACCAGGTGTATGAAAACTGGAGCATGAAATTCAACAATTGAAATTGACCAAGAAAGAAAATTGATAAAAGAGAAGATAAAGTATTTTAACTTCTTGTCCTTTGTAGCTCTTTTGTTGATACGCTCCCCCTTTTTTTTTATTTAAGAGAAATTTTATCACACAAATAAAAGTACATATACAATAACAAAAATCCAGTTTATGATCTAACTTTTCTATTATTTTTTTTTTATATTTGATTTTCCAATTTTTATAACTGAACATATCAATATTTATTATAATTGTAGAGTTTTATTTATTTAATAAACGTATAATATCAATTTATATAAAATACATACAGTTCAAACGTGACAAAAGTCTAATTCCATTTGTTGGCAAACTATATAAGCCCTTAAGTTGCAGAACTTGCTTTGTTGCAATTTCAGTGTTCATATAAGTAAAGTCCTCTCTCTCTCTCACGAATTTCAGTTGAATTCCAGCGCGCGCTATGTTGTAACATCAAAATGCGTGTGTTCGTATATATATGTATAGGAGACTTCGTTGAGGGAGAGAATTTCCAATTAATAATTTAAATCAATATGGCGGAACGAGTGCAGACCATTCGGGCAGATATATCTCCCACGGGTCCTCTATACTTCTCTCTCTCTCCTCTCCAGCATGGAAAACGATCCTATATACCGTGAAATGTTCATATACAGTATACTATATATATATATAAACCGTAAGATCTATTTTTCAAGCGTGCATTACCAGATGAACAAGAAGGAGAAACGTCAATTATTTATCCTTCTTATTATACAGTGAGAGAAAAAACTATATTCTCAATTTAGAAATAAAATTTTGACTCCTATTTATGAATAAATAATAGTGTATTGGATTCAAAAAAAATGGAAGTCAAATAAGTGATTTAAAAAATATAGGAAACAATTATTGATTTGATTTTTATTTTGCTGCATACTGTGTAGAAAAGTATGATTTTGTACACTGTTTTTTATACTTTCACTGCATACTATACAAAAAAGCATACTTTTCTGCACTGTTTGTACACAACTTTCCTGTACTCTGTGAAGGAAAAGTATACTTTTCTGTACAGTTATTTAAAAATTTTTATTTCTTAGGTAGAAAAATACACTTTTCTGCACTATTCTTATAACTTTGCTGCATACTGTGCTGAAAAGTATATTTTTCTGAATTCTATACAGCAAAGCATACTTTTCCGCACTACATTGCTGGAAAAGTATACTTTTCTGCACTACTTTTACAGTTTCTGCATACTGTAGAACTTTACTGAAAAGTATACTTTTCTGCACTATTTTATAACGTTGCTGCATACTGTGCGAAAGAGAATACTTTTCTGCACTATTTTATAACTTTGCTGCATACTGTGCAGAAAATAATACTTTTCTGAACTATTTTTATAACTTTGCTGCATACTATGCTGAAAAATATACTTTTTTTTACAAATTTACTGTATTCTTGGGGTCGTTCACAAACTACATCACGCTATTTTATTCCATTTTTAAATCCCCCCTCCCCCACGTTACACACTGTTACATACTTTAGCGCCATTTTTTCTACAGGTATTTATTTTGCTGCATACTGTTTAGAAAAGTATGATTTTGTACACTGTTTTTTATACTTTCACTGCATACTATACAGAAAAGCATACTTTTCTGCACTGTTTGTACAAATTTCCTGTACTCCGTGAAGGAAAAGTATACTTTTCTGTACAGTTATTATAAATTTTCATTTCTTATGTAGAAAAATACACTTTTCTGCACTATTCTTATAACTCTGCTGCATACTGTGCTGAAAAGTACATTTTTCTGAATTCTATACAGCAAAGCATACTTTTTCGCACTACATTGCTGAAAAGAATACTTTTCTGCACTACTTTTACAGTTTCTGCATACTGTTTAACTGTACTGAAAAGTATACTTTTCTTTTGCACTATTTTATAACTTTGCTGCATGCTGTGCGGAAAAATATACTTTTCTGAACTGTTTTTATAACTTTTCTGCATAATATGCTGAAAAATATACTTTTCTGCACTGTTTTTATAACTTTCTTGCATATAGTACGAAAAAGTATATCTTTCTGCACTGTTTTACCATTCTTTTGCATGCTATACAGAAAAGCATACTTTTCTGCACTGTTTGTACAACTTTCCTGTACTCTGAGCAGTAAAATATACTTTTCTGTACAGTTTTTATAATTTACCATTTTTTATGTAGAAAAATACATTTTGCTGCACTATTTTTAGAGTTTCTGCATACAATACAGAAAATTATACTTTTCTGGACTATTTTATAACTATGCGGTATACTATGCGGAAAAGAATACTTTTCGGAACTGTTTTTATAACTTTGCTGGATGCTGTGCTGAAAACTATACTTTTCTGCACTGATTTTTTATAACTTTCTTGCATACAGTGCGAAAAAGTATATCTTTCTGCACTGTTTTACCATTCTTTTGCATACTGTACAGAAAAGCATACTTTTCTGCACTACTTTTACAGTTTCTGCATACTGTAGAACTGTACTGAAAAGTATACTTTTCTGCACTATTTTATAACTTTGCTGCATACTGTGCGGAAAAGAATACTTTTCTGAACTGTTTTTATAACTTTGCTGCATACTATGCTGAAAAATAAACTTTTCTGTACTGTTTTTACAAATTTATTGTATACTTGGGGTCGTTCACAAACTAAATCACGCTATTTTATTTCATTTTTAAATCCTCACCTCCGCCTCGTTACACACTGTTACATACTTTAGCGCCATTTTTTCTACAGGTCGTCACAAATTGCTTGACCCCCTCCCGCCTTGAAGTGTAATGTAGTTTGTGAACGATCCCTTTTGCAGAAAACAGTGTACCATTTTTATTTATTCAAATATCATTTGTAGAATTCAACCACAAGTTTAGTTAGAATGCTAACGTCAAAAAAAAAAATTCCTTTTGTAGTTTAAACATAATCATTTTCCCTTGTGTATGATATACTGATTTTGAATATAGGTACATACATAATTGTGGAATAATCTTCCTTCACTGCACTTTGCCCTATATGCTATATAGAAATTGATCCCTGTTCAAAATTACTCTCTGTGTGTGTGTGTGTATAGATAGTGACACATGACGCAGTATTTGATCCTAAAACATTAGTCACTATAATTACATTTTATAATTATCACACACTCACTATAAATTCAGTGGTTGAAAATTTATCACTGGATTTTTAGACCCAAATAGATTAGCCTAATAGAATTAATCTCTATAAAGGAAAATTTATATTTGAATTATTAACTTAAAAATAATTTTAATTTTCTACTTCAACAATCTTTATGTCTAATGTAATTTTCTTAATAAAGAATGAAAGTAAGGTTTTTTTTTTTATTTAAATTCTATAAAACAATAACCTATTCATCTATCTATAATCTCGAGATGTATTAGAGCCTTGGGGCCAAAAATTAATTTATGATTTTCGTCCCGGATGGTAAACATATATATATATATACAATATATAAAAACTCATAATAACGTGCGGGCATCATTATCGATAGCATTCGCGGCACGACCAGTAATCATTTGATAGCGTCCATCGCGCCTTCAATAATTGCGCCCCAATGCCTTCGGGTTTGAAAATGAAGAAGATGGTCGCGCAACGACTCAATCGAGATTCCGGATCGAGTGAGTCAGAGTGAGAGAGAGAGAAACATAATTCATTGACCGCGGCAGGTCCCACATAGATTCTGATGTTTCTTGTTGCGCCAATATATTTTATCTCTGGCCCTGTCGTGATCTTTGATCGTGTATTATCGCGTGGAAACCTGCACGAGGTATGATTGCACACTCTTCTCTCTCTCAATATATAAATATATATATATATATATTGTTATATGTTTCAGTCACCAACGCAACAGGAGGTACTTTCCGCCTTGAAGAAACGCCTGGAACAGACAAGCGTGCCGCTCTTCCCACGACATAGACTTCGCATGCTCTCGAAAATTGCCGATGGCGCCTTTGGCTCGGTATGTATCACTATATTTCGATAATATAATATGTACAAAAACCCCTTATTTATCACTTAAGAAAATAGCCAATTTGCATCTGTCCATTTTCAATTTATCGCCTCACACTGATCAATTCACGCGCCGCAAACATTTATATATATTATATTATTGTTTTGAATGGAAATAATCATTTTTCTTCACTTTCTCTTTGCAACATTATTATTATTATTATTATTATTTTATTTTATTGAGTGAGTTGATAATAATTTTAATATGCGAGAAATGCGGAACTAGAAATTATGATTTTTATGGTTTCGGGGTTCAGGCCCGAAAAACTTGCAGTTTTGCTTTGGCGTTCGTCCATCGTTTCCATAGCAATCGGTACCACAACAACCGTTTGTATACAAACCGGTACCATAACAATCGGTACCATAGTAACTGGTACCATAGTAACTAAATGGTATCAAAGTTACTGGTACCATAGTAACTAAATGGTATCAAAGTTACTGGTACCATAGTAACTAAATGGTACAAAAGTAACTGGTACCAACACTACTAGTACCAAAGTTACTGGTACCATTGTAACTTTGCTACTAAAGTAACTGGTACCAAAGTTACTGGTACCATAGTAACTGGTACCAAAGTTACTGGTACTATAGTAACTGTTACCAAAGTTACTGGTACTATAGTAACTTTGGTACTAAGGTAACTGGTACCATAGTAACTTTGGTACTAAAGTAACTGGTACCATACGAACGAAAAGGTACCAAAGTAATCGGTACCATAGTAACTGGTAACAATATTACTAGTACCAAAGTTACTGGCACCATTGTAACTTTGTGACTAAAGTAACTGGTACCATTGTAACTTTGGTGCTAAAGTAACTGGTACCATAGTAACATTGGTACTAAAGTAACTGGTATCATATTAACTAAATGGTATCGAAGTAACCGGTACCATAGTAACTGGTACCAAAGTTACTGGTACCATAGTGACTTTGGTACTAAAGTAACTGGTACCAAAGTTACTGGTACCATAGTAACTGGTACCACAGTTACTGGTACCATAGTAACTGATACCAAAGTTACTGGTACTATAGTAACTTTGCTACTAAGATAACTGGTACCATAGTAACTTTAGTACTAAAGTAACTGGTACCATAATAACGAAATGGTACCAAAGTAATCGGTACCATAGTAACCGGTACCAACATTACTAGTACCAAATTTACTGGCACCATTGTAACTTTGGTGCTAAAGTAACTGGTACCATAGTAACATTGGTAATTAAATAACTGGTATCATAGTAACTAAATGGTATCGAAGTAACCGGTACCATAGTAACTGGTACCAAAATTACTAGTACCAAATTTACTGGCACCATTGTAACTTTGGTGCTAAAGTAACTGGTACCATAGTAACATTGGTACTTAAGTAACTGGTATCATAGTAACTAAATGGTATCGAAGTAACCGGTACCATAGTAACTGGTACCAACATTACTAGTACCAAATTTACTGGCACCATTGTAACTTTGGTGCTAAAGTAACTGGTACCATAGTAACATTGGTACTTAAGTAACTGGTATCATAGTAACTAAATGGTATCGAAGTAACCGGTACCATAGTAACTGGTACCAAAATTACTAGTACCAATGTTACTGGTACCATAGTAACTGGTACCATAGTAACTGGTACCAAAGTAACTGGTACCAACATAACTAGTATCAAAGTTACTGGTACCATAGTAACTAAATGGTACCATTGTAAGCGGTGCCATAGAAACCGGTACCACAGCAACCGTTTTTGTAATATTTAATGAGATTTCCAAAAAAAAATGTTACTTCACTTCTTTTTTTCTACTATTATTTTTAAATAATGATCGTCATCAAACGATAAAATGCTTTTAGAACACTTTTCTCGAAAATTGTCTTTATAAAACTGAAGGAGTTACATTCTATTCGAACAATGTCTAAAAGTTTCTTTTTCCAATATTATCGAAATTCGATTAATTGAATCAAAAAAAAAAAAGGAACTTCATACCCAGCTGTGTTCCTAAAAATATCTCACCCCCAAAAAAAACATCTTGAATTGTATCGATTTCGTGTGTGAAATTGACTCAGAGATTTATAGATATTATACTTTATATATGGATATAATTATATCCAATTGGAGTGGAAGATAACCGAAACACGTATACATATATATATATATATATATATATATATATATATATATATATATATATATATATATATATATACAGTTCCTTGGAGAAACGATTTCTAAGAAAAACATTTATGTTAATACAGGTATACGTGGCAGAAGCTGAGGGAATTCCAGAGTATGGTACCACAACCACCCTTGGCAAGCGACTTGTAGCCGTCAAGTTTTTACTGCCGGAAGCCAACGAGAAAGAAAAGTAAGTACACAACTTACGATTTGCATTTATTTTGCCGCCACAGTCTTGTTCAATTGGAGTATATTACGCCTTTATGAAATCCATGTAATAAAACACATTTAGTTTTGTCTTTTACATTTCGGATTTAGATATACATTCACAGTAAAAAGAATGTTTTATTTTAAGACAGAAAAGGTGTCTTATTTTAAGAGGTAACATTTTTAAGACTGCCCTTGCTGAATCTAAGCAATGAATTTACATGCAATTTGAATTTAAAATGGCTATTACTGCTGAATTTAAGACTCATTTAAAAATAAGATTTACTTTTTACAGTGTTAATAAATTATTTGAACTAAATTTTAATTTCAATTTTCAATTTATATTTATAAATTAATTTTTAAATTAATTTTTAATTTAAGTTTTAATTTGAATGTAAATTATTCTCTTTTTTTCGGTAATTTTAGACATTTATTTTACGTAAAATGGGTTTTTTTAAAAAAAAAAAAATTAAAACTTTGAAATTGTTTTGTCTCATTCTTTTTTTGTTGGGATTTTTTTTTCTCTAATCAGCTTCCCTTGAATAATTATTATTAAAAGTCACTTTCATGAATCATTGACTATGTCTTTTATATATACATATATTGCCACTTTTGAAACTCCTGAAAAGTTTCTTCCATAAGAAGAAAAGCTAATCTTACCATTAGCGTAAGTAAAGTTGCGCAAGGTCCTTTGAGAGCCGAAGTATCGTACAACCTATTACCAGAAATTGAACCACACAATGGAAAAGCTTTTGTAGGAACTTTGGCTGGCAATGTACTTTATTCATCAAGTCCTTGTGAATTCTATTCGAGTCTTCATAAAGAATCCTTTTTTTTTTTTTCTTCCTTCTTTTTTTTTTTATACGCCTCTCTCTATAGTAGAATTTTTCGGAAGGATCAAGCAAACAGATTTCAGCAAGAACGATAATTCGACATCCTATCTCAACCTAAAAATCAAAAAAAAAAAAAGAAAAAAAGATTCTTTTTCAAAGAAATAGATTTGCATACAATGACCGGGAGATAGTCACAAACGTTCCTTGCAAAGAGAAAGGTATAGATTCCTTTTTGCGATGACAAAACTACTCCTTTCCTTGAATTTCATTTTACATGCGTCATTTCAATTTTGTTTATTTAATTTTTTATTTGATCCTTTGTTAATTTTTTTATTTATTTTTTTACAAATGAATAATATATTTGTACGAATTGATTTTAATCAAAATGAATTATTGTTGAATTTATAGAAAATTTTAAATTTCTTTTCCACGAATACCCTTAAGGTCTCTTTCGCCAAGTTAACTATAGTAAAAAAAAAAAAGAGAGAAGAAGAGAAGGGTCTGTTTTATGCTGTGGATTATAAATGAGAAAAGTAGATGAACGTATATAGACGGCAAAAGAGGCGTCTGCCATGGGAGGCTGTGCTGACGGAAGATAAGAATGTTTTATATGCTCCATAGCTGGTATCACGTGCTACAGAACCCAACTCTCGCTCGACACTTTATTAAAAATAACATAGAGGGCTCTCGACCCTTGATCTTGGCGTGGCTCTTTTACCCCCGAATGGCTCGCGGGCAAAAAGGATGCGCATATCATTTCCTTTAAAGGCCGATTTTGTCGCCCCCCCCCCCCGTCTTTTGCTCATTTTTTTTTTACTACAATGAAACATCAAACACCCACAGGAAGCATCTAATCCATTTTCACAAAATTTATTATTTGTAGCTTTATTGAAAAATTTATTTGATTCAAATAATCGATTATGTTGGCAAATAAATATTTTTTTCAAACCAAATAATCAATTAGCAAATGTTTCTTTTAACCAAATAATTTATTAGTTGACAAATAAATATTTCCTTGAATCAAATAAATATTTCCTTGAATCAAATAATTGATTATTTGACTGGCAAAAAAATATTTCTTTGAACCAAATAATCGATTAGCAAATGTTTCTTTTAACCAAATAATTTATTAGTTGACAAATAAATATTTCCTTGAATCAAATAAATATTTCCTTGAATCAAATAATTGATTATTTGACTGGCAAATAAATATTTCTTTGAACCAAATAATCGATTAGCAAATGTTTCTTTAAACCAAATAATTTATTAGTTGACAAATAAATATTTCCTTGAATCAAATAATTGATTATTTGACTATAAATATTTCTTTGAACCAAATAATCGATTATTTTTAATTTTTCGAGAGCTTCACTGTCGAAAATTATCTGCCGTAAAGTACTTTTTTTTGTCGGATGAGGAAATAATAAAATTTTATTTGTATATTTTGGAATGGCAATTAACAATAAAACGCCAATTTTACGTAAAGCAACGATGAGAATTTTGGACTTAATCGACTTTGAGTTTGTAGACGTAAATATAGTCTATTTTGCATAAAACTGTCTGGGCAAGCAAATACGTAAATCCACATTGGCGAACGAGACTGGTACACACAAGATTCTCAGTTTATGGTTAATCAATACGGCAGTAGTTTTGTTAACATCGACATTAAGCTATCACGCGAGAGTACTATTACCTACGTCTCTCTCTCTCTATATATATATATCGTAAGCAGTTAAAGTAGTACTTGATGACGTTGCTAAAGCTACAAGAAACCTTAACAAGACTCCTAATTGACCAAACTATGAGCCATTTCAATTTTCACGAGAAATCCTATTCCACTTTATTACATACTACTGTTTATTTCAAGTAATGTGATTTTTTTTATAGTTGGTTTAATTTTCTGATATCAAATTTTCATCTCCAAATGTTTAATTTTTTTTTAAATTTTTTACAGTTTATTTGAAATTTTGCTTCCTAGTGTTCAAAAGTGGTCATTTTATTCCCTAGGGCGAAGAAGTAGTTTTTTCCTCTAGAGATAAAAGAAATTTTACACCCTGAATTAAATATTTTATTTTTTTAAATTTTTTACTGTTCATTTGAATTTTAGGACATTTTGTTCCCTAGTGTTCAAAAGTAGTCATTTTATTCCCTAGGGCGAAAAAGTAGTTTTTTCCTCTAGAGGTAAAAGAAATTTTACTTCCTGGATTAAATGTTTTATTTTTGTAAATTTTTTTCTGTTAATTTGAATTTTAGGACATTTTGTTCCCTAGTGTTCAAAAGTAGTCATTTTATTCCCTAGGGCGAAAAAGTAGTTTTTTCCTCTAGAGATAAAAGAAATTTTACTCCATGAATTAAATGTTTTATTTTTGTAAATTTTTTACTGTTCATTTGAATTTTAGGACATTTTGTTCCCTAGTGTTCAAAAATGGTAATTTTATTCCCTAGGGTGAAAAGTAGTTTTTTTTCTTCTGGAGCTAAAAGAAATTTTACTCCCTGGGTCAAATGTTTAATTTCTTTTTAATTTTTTTCCAGATTATTTGAAATTTTACATTTTGCTTCCTAGTGTTCAAAAGTGGTAATTTAATTCCCTAGGGCTAAAAAGTTGTATTTTTTTCCTCTAGAGCTAAAAGAAAATTTACTCCCTGGATTAAATGTTTAATATTTTTCTAATTTTTTAGTGTTCATTTGAAATTTAGGACATTTTGTTCCCTAGGGTTCAAAAACGGGAATTTTATTCCCTAGGGCGAAAAAGTACTTTTTTCCTCTAGAGATAAAGGAAATTTTACCCCCTAGGCCAAGAAAGTCCTAATTTATCCTTACAGTTAAAATAAAATTATTTTATAGGGAGAAAACAATTTTTTTTCTTATACGATTTTCTAGTATGATTTATTTCCCTAGTGCGAAAAAGTCCACTTTTCCACCTAGGTCTATAAAGCATCACCTATGTCCCTTGGAAAAAAAAAATTATTTCTATTTCCTTTTTTTTTGAGGCTTTTTAATTTCGATTTTTAATAAAGAGGAAAAATTTTACGAATAATATGAAAAAAAAATTCACTAATTTTTAATTTCAGATTAGATTTCCAGAGAGATATAAGAATTTTAGCAGCCTTAGAAGATAGAAATATTAGCCGAGTATTGGGAGCCTGCTGTCGTGAGGAACCATTTTGCGTTGTAATGGAATATTTGGAGCACGGTGATCTTTGTCAGTTTTTGAAAACTCACATCACTGCCGAAGATGCTCATTCAATGCCTCTTGGAGTCAAAACACTAAGGTATAAATTTTTTCATTATTTCTTTATTTTCCAATAAATATATAAATTTTAAATATAATTATTCTAGTTCAAAAATATTTTATTTTTATTTAATTTTAACTAATATTTCAAGTTAATAGTAATTTTTATTATTATTATTAGTTTATTTATTCTTTTATTATTTTTATTAATAATAAATATTTCGTAATATTGTCACGCCTCAAAATATGAGTAATGCAATGAGGAAGAGAAGGAAGTTATTCACAATTAATTTGACTTTTCCCTATCGGTTCACGTTTCAGTTTCAACTGTCTCATCTACATGGCAGCGCAAATCGCGTCGGGAATGCGTTACTTGGAGAATCTAAACTTTGTGCATCGTGACCTGGCAACAAGGTAAGTCTTTTAGTTGATGATAAACTTTTCTTCTTTATATATATATATATAAATATACATCACTCATTGATTCCATTGGGATTTTAAGAAACTTATAAATGCAAAACTAGATAACTTGCTTTTCTCTTCAAGTATACATAACAATGAAAGATAATCCCAATGGAAAAGAGAAATTAATTCAACAACACTTTTGAAATTTACTATATAACTAAGTAAAGAATACTGACAAAAATTAGATTTTAAAAGAAAAAAAAATATTTGCGTATTATGAATTTTATAACTATTATTTTATTTACTATTTAATTATGTTGCATAATTAATTTATTACATAATTAATACATAACTACTAAGATCCATAAAAAGGTATAATTTTTATAATTTTCATTTATCATCGGTCGGTAATGTAGATTTCTGTAATGGTCCATTTACCCTAAGTCGGTAATACAGATTTTTTACGTAATTAATACAATTTACGTAATTAATAACTACTGAGATCCATAAAAGGGTATAATTTTTATAATTTTCATTTATCATCGGTCGGTAATGTAGATTTCTGTAATGGTCCATTTACCCTAAGTCGGTAATACAGATTTTTTACGTAATTAATACAATTTACGTAATTAATAACTACTGAGATCCATAAAAGGGTATAATTTTCATTTATCATCGGTCGGTAATGTAGATTTCTGTAATGGCCCATTTACCCTAAGTCGGTAATACAGATTTTTTACGTAATTAATACATAACTACTGAGATCCATAACAGGGTATAATTTTTATAATTTTCAGTTATCAACGGTCGGTAATGTAGATTTCTGTAATGGTCCATTTACCCTCAGTCGGTAATACAGATTTTTGTTTTTACTTTACAGCAATTATAATTAAAAGCAATATTTGATTTGCATTTTTTGTGTAATGTTTCAAACAAGTTTACGCCTAGGCATAAAGTTTTGAAATTACCAATTTACTAAACACGTGCATGATATAATGAAATCATAATATCTTGTGTATTTTGAAAATGATTTATGCCAATTAGTATATGGGATTTAATGAAACTGAAACTGTGCTCCGCGCAGTACTTGATAACTTTGAATTGCCTTCAATTTCTGTTTGGATGGTTTTGTGAGAATATTAGGGTTGGAAATAGATATATTGGGGTATTTGTTAAGGCGTTGTTACAGCGGCATTGTTTTGCATGTCAGAAGTTTATGAATGAGTTTTGATATGACTGTGTGTATATACAGAATGCGTTTAGATAAATTGAAATGATGGGTCTAATTATCGACCAATGGAAATGACTCTCCATCACATCATCCTTGTTTGGCCCGCGAGGCAGAAACCATGCTTGATACTAACAAATCCAACACTGCCATAGTGATTTCCCCTGCGATTTGTTCCTCACTGTTTCATGTTTGTTTGTTTGTTTTTGGCTTATATATACGAAATACATCAGTCGAAATAATTTCATTTATCGCGCATCTGAAAATCGATTTTGAATTTCAATTTTGAAAAAAAAAATTTTTATGGGGATCAATATTATTTTTGACACAAATTTTTTTTTTTATTTTTATATTGTAACCGGTGATAATGTTTCTTTTTTTGTACAATAATTAAAATTCAAAATGTTATTTTTATTTTTTATTATTACAAAAAAATTTCGTAAAATAATATTAACCGAATTTGTACACCAAATTTTGTTTTAGTACACCTCACTTGGAAAGATTTCCCGGAAAGTGCCCCCTGGAGGTTCTATCAGAATTCCGCCGGAACTTCCAACGTAATTCCGTCGGAATTGCATCGGAGTTCCAAAGAATTTCCGGTGGGATTCCGACGGAGTTCCGACGGAATTCTGACGAAATTCCGATTAATTTTTTCAAAAATTTTAGAGTCCTAATTCCGTCGGAATTCTGTCGGAATTCCATCGGAAATTCTTTGGAACTCCGATGGAATTCCGACGGAATTACGTTGAAAGTTCCGGCGGAATTCTGATATAACCTCCAGGGGGCACTTTCCGTGGAATCTTTCCAACCAGGACGGAAAAAAATCTTCACCTGAAATAACGATGTTTTACTGAAACAGCGATATATTTTACTAAAAAAGCTAAAGTTTTCCCTATTCTAGAGAAACATATCGCTGTTTCAGATAAAGATTTTTTTGTCTGATTATTATTGTCTTTTACTACTTATTCTAAAATTGCAGAAATTAAAATCAATTTGTCTGACTTAAATGTACTTTTTCCACTGATACTGAAATTCAAGGGATTTTGAAGTTTTGTCTGACTGTTACTGTCTGTTATCACTTATTTAAAAATTACAAGATACTTAAATCATTTTGTCTGACCAAAAAAATACTTGTACTACTTATTTTATAAATTACTATATTTTTTTAATAATTTATTGCTAATTCTACCAAGTAAAAAATAAATACAGTTCTGCCTGACCAAAAATGACTTATACTACTGACACTAAATTTTCAGGAACCATTCTGCCTGACTAAAAATTACTTGTACTACTGATACTAAAATTTTAGCAATTCGAAGATTTTGTCTGACTGTTACTGTCTGTTATCACTTATTATAAATTTTGTTGTAAAATAATACCGATCGGAAAAAAATCTTTACCTGAAATAACGATAAGTTTTACTAAAACAGCGATATATTTTACTAAAACAGCAAAAGTTTTCCCTATTCTAGAGAAATATATCCTTGTTTCACATAAAAAAAATTTTTTAATCTAGAAAAATTTATTTTTGTTTATTTATCCAAAATTTCCCAAAAAAAATTCTTTTCTTTTTTTTGCAAGATTTCTCTTTTATTTTGTCGGTGATTTGCTTCCTTTAATATAGAAAGCAATTGGTCCATATTTGTTTGTAATTTGTTTTATCCCTGAAATCAAATAAATCGTATAGTTGGCACACACATAAAAGGCAACGAAATTCCCAAGCTCATGGAAATTAATTTTGAGCTTTTGTTGTACGACGAAAATGATTCGAAGCTTCCGATACGGTCGTATAAGTGTGCAATTTAGGTTGGAGGTGATAGAGTTTACTGTAATTCTGGGTTGAAATTGTTCTACGACCCTTTCAGTGTCTCCTAGTGCTAGGAGAGAATGGGGGATGCAAAGGGTGTGGGGGGGGGTTTGTAATACCTTGGTAATGGCCGGTATAGGGCGCCCCCTTTCGTTCTATTAAGATTTATGAGCCATCAATGAGAGACACTGCTTTGCCGGAAACTAGGTTCTGTACCAGGTACTGTGCGGGTATATTGATTCGATAAGATGAGTTTTGGCAATTCAATAACTGAATTCAGACGCTATTAATGTGTGTGTGTATGCAAAACTTTTTTTCGTTTATGAAAATATTATATGTGAATTATTGTGATTATAATTTAAATGAGGGTTTTAATTATTTTAATTGTGGAACCAGTAGTGCAGAGAAGAGGGAAAATTTTATTTGATTTAAACAATAGACTAATTGACTTATAAAATAAATATTTGTATTTCAAGCAAATATAGAAAAAAAGGCTAGTAATTTGTAAATCAGTAGTACAAGTAATTTTTGGTCAGACAGAAGGGCTTTGATTCGAGAAATTTTAAAGTAAGTAGTAACAGACGATAATAGCCAGACAATGCATTAAAAATTCCTAAAAAATTTAGTATCAGTAGTACAAGTATTTTTGGGTCAGACAGTAAATCAGTAGTACAATTAATTTTTGGTCAGACAAAAGGGCTTTAATTCATGTAATTTTCGATAATAACAGCCAGACAACGCTTTAAAAATTCTGAAATTTTGGTATCAGTAGTACAAATAATTTTTTGGTCAGACTGAATGGTTCCTGAAAATTTAGTATCAGTAGTTAAAGTCATTTTTGGTCAGACAGAACAGTTTCTATTTTTTACGTGTAGAATTAGTAATAAAGTGTAAAAAAGTAGTAGTTTATAAAATAAGTAGTACAAGCAATTTTTGGTCAGACATAATGGTTCCAGAAAATTTATTATCAGTAGTTCAAGTAATTTTCTGGTCAGACATAACAGTTTTTATTCCTTCAGTTGCAGTATCAGTAGAAAAAAAGTCTAAAAGAAATTATAGTAATTTATAAATCAGTAGTACAAGTAATTTTTCGTCAGACATCATTTATCTTGCCCATATTAAACGAACAATATATTTAGAGAAACAAAGCTTCACAAAATCATAGCATAATTCTACAATTAGCTTTCACTATTATAATAGACCGTTTAGCAAAATTTATTCACAAACCTTCAGGCTTAACTAAACACGATAGTTCCGCCGAGTAATTAATTACTAATTATTATTATATTGCACATTTGTCTAAAACAGTCAATATAAATTTTTTTTTTAAATCCTTCATTACTTTAATAATTTATTCCTATTGATAAATGTTCCCTTTTTATATTCTCGTTATTTATAAAAAAATATATTGATTTGTCTCTCATTGACAGAAAAAAAATGTAGAAAGACTTTTGACATTTTATACACATATAGTCAAAAAAATTTTTGACAAAGTATCTATATACTAAAAAAAAAACCCCGTTATCGACTTATTTACGAGTTTTTCCATCATGTGCGATGCACGGCTAGTTTTTAAATGGAACATGAATCTCGCGTCTCACGTAAATCCTCGCGACAAGCGTATAACGATATAGAAGTAGCTTGGGTTAAAAAAATGAAAAAAAAAATTCAAAATCAAACAAAAATTGCAATCGTTTTCCCATAACGGGCATATAAATATCGATAAAAGTAGGTCAAATTGATGCGACGACAATCCCACGACGACAATAGATTTAGTTCAAGCACAACGTCGGCAAAGTTTGGTAAACGATAAAAATCCCTTATCCCCCAGAAAATTTTTACAACGAAAAATGGAACTTCGACGATTGGCTTTTATAATACTCCTAAAGTACAAGAAAAGAACCGATTGATTTCTTCAATGCTTGAAAAACTTTATGTATATATGTGTGTGTGTGTTCGTTGACCTAGTTTAAT